AAATTTTTCTTCGTTTTAGAAATGAACCTCATAATGCTTGCTATATTTTACGAGAAACTTACATTATTAAGATAAACAGTTTTTTAATGGTGTGAAATTTTCATTTTTTAAAAATGTGGCCGCATTTTTAAAAAGTGACTACAATCAAAAATGCTCTAACTGGCCACTGGTCAATAGTAAAATTTCCTAATTTTGCCATATAACCTCTTGCCTTCGAGAGGTTGCCTACTGTCTTTTCTAAACTTATTCTTTAATTGTTAAAATTAAAGCAAACATTTTATTTAGAAAATGTGTTAACCGTTTTTTTAAATTAGGCTTAATAATATTAAATGTTTGTAGGAAGTCTAGAGCTGGGCTTGAAAAACTCAGCATTTTAACACGACCTAACGGTTATGTTAGTTTATAGCAGAGTTTTCTAAACTGCGCGAACCGATCCCAATTAGGGTAGCCGGATCTGCTATAGGAAAAAATAAAAAATTGAAACCCTAAAAGCACAAAAGTATATTACTGTATCAGTGACAATTTTCAACACTCTTGTGTTCAATTTACGCAATGCTTATGGAGTCCCACACCAAAAATTTTAAAAAATCCTGATCTATAAAATACGTGGACGAAAACCTTTTTCGATTACCTATTGAAAAAAAATACAGGGTGTATAGAGGTGGACTAACTGATTTCAAAATTAAAAATCCTTAAACAAAGAACTATTGAAGAAGAACGATATATTTATTGTGAAATCTGTTAACACATACCTAATCCCTTACAATAACTCCTTTCCCGTTTTAATGCTAGAATTCTTCAATCTGGCCATCTGTTGTCAATTTTCGCAACTAAATTCAAAATTTTGAATAACATTTTTACAACTTTCATTGTAAACATACCATTTGTTTCATTTCTCTATCACCCTCTGTTTCCGTTTTATTCTAAAATGAGCCAATGAATCCCTCGCTGGACACCCTGTATCAATGTAACTATTGATACAGGGTGTCCGATCGCAATGTGGTCAGTCGCAAATGTATATTATAGCAAATAAGTCGAAAAAAAGTGACAGTAACAGCGTTATGTTTAAATCTACAGTTTTAAGTATAAATCACAAATATTAAATATCATTAATAAAGAAGTATTAGTTTTTTTTTAACAGAGAAGTATTAAAGCATTGATGAAGTAAATAAATACAAACCATTATTCTTTACATTGTTAAAATCGGTTTTAGTATGATACTTTAAAACAATGTTTAATAAATATTAATTTGTATGATTAAATTCAATAAAGTATAATCGATATTTTGGGGATATTTAGAAGATAAAAAAAATTATCCGATATGTATGGAGAAGATGTTTTGGTTTTCAAAACTTTTGATCTGGCAAAATTTCGATTACGATGCATGATGATGCAGTACGCCAGTTTAAGCTGAAGACACAATAAGGCACTAATTGATGCTAGTCGACGAATAACAAACAACTCGCGAGAAGCATTAAATTTATCGAATTCATCCATTGATGATCATTAAAAAGCCTAAGATTTAATCTTAAAGCTCGTCATCAAGGTACATAATATTCTTACGGCATAAAAAAAAGTGTGCCGTGAATTGCTTATTAAACGTCAAGAAAATTATCCATTTTGAAGAGCATTATCACTGGGGATGAAATATGGGTTGTCTACAACAATGTTCCAGCCTCTAAAAAATATTTTAGAATGTAAAACCTTTACTTCAAATAAGGATAGGTCAAGAATCATCTGGATTAATTTTTTGCCAGCGAAGAACAAAAAATTTTTGCACTTGGATTTTTGCAAATTTTTGCACACCAGAAAGATGGCGATAGGTATTGGACCAGAATGGACAATATATGATTCAATAAAACATTTATTCACGATAAGAAAATCACCTTTTCAGTTTTATAAGAAAAAATTTAATTACTTTCCTAACAACCCAATAGTTTCCTTAATCTCTTTCTGTCACTTCTTAAATTTTTCTGAAAAGAGGCATTATTTTTCATTTAAACCCCAAATGTCCATCATTCTGTCGCTTAAACTCAAAATAATTCTTGAAAGGAATTATTTCTCAAAACACGCATTAATAGTGCTCACAGTTTATATTTTTATTTTATAACCGTCGTTGAACAGCCGACCCAATTTTGGTTTTACGACTACTAATGTTCAACTCCGTAGCTTTGTAATTTTGAACCAATCCAGAAGATAAGGAAACTCCAGTACCCCCAGAGGTATGATTTGTAATGGGAACATGGAGGACTTTGTGACCCAATTGATTTAACGTGCATCAGTCACCATTTACTACTCGGGGAGTCTTTGGTCTGCGGAGATTGAACCCACGAGCTCTTGAACATGGGCCCAGTGCCCTCCCAACCAAGCTATCCCGGCCCTCTCAGTTTATATTAGAAAAATTACCTACACTTAATTATTGTCACGCATTTATTTAATAACTTTCAGGACTAAACTGATCCATGAATATTATTTTTCCCCGCAAAGTAAGTAGTATTCATTTCGAAACAATAATAGGCCGTTTTTATTTATTTACTTTTCTTTTCCTTACTTTTTATATTTCTTGCAAAAAAGTGGAGATTAAATTTTTTTTTGTTTTTTGTCGTTCAATGTAAAGACGCAAAACACTTATGTAAAATTATATACAATTTAAAGAGATATTCTCCTACTATCCTACAACAGTGATCTATGATAAGAGGAGCTTTTAAAACTAGAAACTACACATTTCAAATAATCAGAAATTTATGACTACTTTTTCTTTTTGTGATTTATTACACTGCTTCACTATAAAACCGTTCTATACAGGGAAATTATGGAAAGAGACAAATATTTTGAGAAATGCACGTATGAAATATATTCATAAAATTCGTTAATTAAGCTGAAATTTCACCTCCAACCTTATTCTTTTGGTGGTTGGGCGAGAAGCATCTTTAAAATTTAAAAAAAAAAAAGCCTTTTTCTTGCAGATTGGTATTTCCCCCAAAAAAGTGCTCCAGTCGGACTGAGTTTGTTGGCATTTTGATTCACTGATGGCGCTGCAATCGCAATATGGAAATATCGTTCGAATTGTTTAAAATATATATATTATACATTATTTATAAAAATAAAAATGGAAATTTTTGATTTTTTTTTGAAAAATTTATTTGATTTTACCTAAATCGATCCCCATAACCACGCTCTCCATCTACTCCACTGTGGCCGATACTGTAATCACACCACCGTGTTATTAACCTCTACACAAACTACTCTCACCACTCATTTGAACTGATTCATTAGAAGTGCTGCTGCTATCTTTACTAAAAAAATATGACTTTTTCGCGATTAAAAAATAATCGTTTCAAAATAAATTTGGTATTTATGACTTTTCCGAATTTTGCAATCCTTTTATTGATTAAAGAATGAAATCCTTTTATTTAAAATGTTAGCATTCTCTTTTTATACTAGAAAATTACTAATTGAATTTACCATGATTCATATTAACAAATACATAGTAAAAGAGATTATGATATGTGAATGTTTGCATATTTCTTAAAGTATGCTTTTTAGCTGTTGAAAAATTTAACATGACTTTAACTCATTTACGTCAGTAAATCCTATTATTTCCTTTCCTACTTTAAAGCTTTAAAGTACTTTCGATATCCACTTGTAGATTTAATTTATTTAACTAAACAAAAACATTTCGTTAGTTAAAATTTAGTTGCAGTAAATTTCTTTAAAAAAAGCACTCTTGCAGTATTTTTTTAAAGTAAGAAATAAAGTTAATAGATAAGGAATATGAATTTAAATTTTTACATTATTATACAAATTTTTAGTTAGAAAATTAAGAAATAAATTTAAAATTATCTAGAAGTGTAAATCATATAATTTCCTTTCATTTGTTTTATTTCATTTGATTTTGTTTTGGTTTCTTCATTGTTAGGGTATCATATAGTTGAAAATATGGAGAAAAAATGGAAAAAATATAAAGATTTATGAAAACGGAAGAAAAAAATTTTTTCAAATGAAATATTTTTAAAAAATATTTAAAATAAAAAAAAATTAAAATGCTGGAAAACAAAATAAGGCAAAGATATAATCTCGTTATCAGCTCACACGATTATATCCTTAAAAAAGAGTGCTTACTAACATTGTATTAATAAAGCAGAGCGAAATAAATTAATACAAAAGTGTGAAAAGCACCCCAAAAAAATTGAAACGAAAATAGAACATATTTAGTTAAAAATGCAAGCATATTAAGTAAAATTATAAATTAAGAAAAAAATGAAACATATTAAGTAAAAATTAAAACATATTAAGTTAAAAATAAAACATATTAAGTAAGAAATAAAACATATTAAGTATAAAATAAAACATATTAAGTAAAAAATAAAACATATTAAGTAAAAAATAAAACAAAAAATGCAAAATAAAACAATCAAGTAAAAAATAGAAAATAAAACATATTAAGTAAAAAATAACGCAAAAAATGCAAAATAAAACAATCAAGCAAAAAATAGAAAATTAAATGCCAGAAAAATACAAAATAAAATACGAAATGTAAAATATAAAGCGAAAAGTGATTTCAAATGCACTTACACTTACCGGCATGTTTTAAAAATGATTTAAAATATTTTTAAAAATTATTAAAATATTTAGTTTGCCGGATTACAAAATATGAAAATAGAAGGGCCTTTAGAAAACAGAAGAAATCTTTATATTTTTTCCCATGTTTTCATGATTTCTCTATATTTTTCACTTATTTAATTTTCTTCGTTAATCTCGCCTTTCTTTTATCCTTTTTGTCTTTATTATGTAATATACACATAGTAAAAAATTAAAATCTCATTAGTTTGAAGAAAAAAACAGGAATGATTTTCTTTTAAAAAAACTTATAAATGACAGAAAAATGTAGTTTTTTCTGTGTGTTTTCTAACCCTCAAAAAAATATCCGGAAATTTTAGAGAAGTTTTAAATTTACTTAAATTTAAACATTTAGATAAATTGTTAGGATAAAACTTTTATTAGTATTCTCTATGGAAATTGAAAAATCAAAAATAAGTTTTATAAAATCAAAACATATCATTTTTGAAAAAAATATTGAATAATTCTTTTAAATTAAAATATTTCTTTTTATCGCTTTTGTAGCACTTGTAATAAACTTAACGACAATGCATTTATTTTTCCTTAGTCAATTTCATCATTCCCGCTTATTAATATTTGGAAAAAAAGGGGAAATATATGAAGTTAACAAAACTGACACAGAATTTATTCTAATTCACACTTTTGTCCTCCGTTTAATTACTTTTTAATAATCATTTTTATCGCTCACTGTTCTTTTGAGTTTCACATGACTAACGATGCTTTAGTTTGTTTGATATGAACTCTTGATTGTTTGATTGATTAACTTTCGATTCTATTTTAGAATACAAAAATCACATTTATAATGTTAATTTTATTTTAATTAAATTATTATTACGATAGTCATTTTATCACAACAAAAAACTTTTTAACTCTACTTCTTATATCGCCCAACTGCGTGAACAAAGTAACATCGTAAACAAAGTCATCTTAGCCGGGAAGGGTAGAATTAGATATTTTTAAAACATCAATCAAGACTATTTTTATTTTTCCCACCTGAAAAATAAACTTCCACTTAAAACAATTTGCAGTCCATTTTCATTTTCAACGCCATCTGGGAACCAAAATGCGAAAATGTGTCACCCAAATCGGGGTATTTTTTCCCCACAAATCTGATTTTGTCGGGCCCGCTCCAACCTTAAGGGGTTAATAATAGGGTTTTTAAAACCATTAATTACATCTTTCGAAAATATTTTCAAGTGGGAATTTTTAGATTTTTAATCCACTGCATATTTCTCGAACTATTTCTCCGCTTCCATACTTTTTGGACACCCTGTAAACTCCAAAACATTGACATCATATGCTATTCTGTTAATGCATCGTTCTTTACTAATTGTTTTGCATTTAAGGAGCGACTTTTACTGAGTGTGCTACCACAACATGTTGCCATGGAAATGAAGGCAGATATAATCCGACCAAGGGAAGGTCCATTCCATAAAATATACATTCAGAAACACGAGAACGTAAGGTAAGATTTAGATAGTTATGCTTTGAACCNATATATATATATAAATTCAAGTCAAGAAATTTACCTAAACAAACAACATTTAAAATCTTAAGTAGATTTGAGTGATGATGCAGTATTTCTCTTGGGGGAGGGGAATAATCAGGTTAATGACCCTGGCGTGAAAGTTTGAATAAGAAAGTGAGTCTAAACAAACTTTTTTTGAGGAAGATCTTCATCGAAAATGCAGAATATTGCTCATGTTCAACTAACTCCTTCCCGCATTGAAATCGCTTGCACCACTTCTAAATTGTCTTCAAATTCATCATTTCCAATATCATACTTTAATTTAAACATTATGAAACCTGATTCTATCCAAACTTCTTTTTTTTTTTTTTTTTTTTTTTTTTTTTTTTTTGAAATTGTGCGAAATCTACTCATTTTGTGAATTTGTGAAAATAGGGTCCTGTTTATGTGATTTTCACGAAATTAACTCATGATTTCCTAAAACTGAAACTAGCTTCAAATTGGGCTCTTTGTGCGAGGGTCCCTGGTTTTGTTAAATAATGCACAAATCATGTCTTAAGCAGATTTTTTTTCTAAATTATAAATTAATTTCATTATCCATTCCATTTATTAAAGTTTTGAGAAAGGTCCATTCTTAAAATGAAAAATAATTGTTGCTTAAAATAAAATACTTTTTGATTACCTTTACGAAAAAATAATGTGTGAAGGGTCTTTTAACTGACACAAATTTTTCCTTAACAAATACCTGCATTATCATTCTATTATTATTATGATTATTATTGTTGTTATTTGAAACGTAATTATTCGAAATCCACTTAAAATATAACCTGTAAACTATAAATCCGTGATAAATATAACCTGTATAATCCACAATTTATTTTTAACTGCCCTCTAACATTCTGAATTGATTTTTCTAAATTAATTTAAAGACTAAATCTTTTTTTAGTTTGTAAATAAGGTATTTCAAGTAACATTACAGCTTTGCTTAACTATTAATCCTCTTTTTCATAGTCATTTTTCTTCTCATTTGTAATCTATTTTAAGTTATTGTCGTTTAACTTAGGTTTGTTAGTTACAAAGGCAAAAGGTTTGGTTTTTTTTTAAAATTGATTATTATTTTTTGCTCGCTTGTTTGTATAGAAAGAAAATTAAAAAATTGTTTCTGCCAGAAACAGTTGTTCTGAGTTGTTATACAAAATAATTTTCTTAGAGAGTAATATGATTTTTTAAAATTGTTATAAGTTTCTAACAGTTATTCGTGATGACACATCTTTCGCCCGTATCCTCTATGCAAGTGGTGACAAACCTGTGATCTCCGAATAAGATGCTGACCCAAGAAGACTTTTTAAATTACCCCCGCGTTAATTTCTATAGACTTATTTTTTATCATAAAAAGATTTGTTTTTTTTTTACTATAAAAGAGAGACACTTGATAATATTAAAAACCATGAACAATATCAAATAGATATAAAAATATTTCATAGTGAACATTGTTCAATTGAACATTCATTGTTCATATCATTAAACCTGGATATGACTGCTGACATGTATAAATATGTACCTCTGTATGACTCTTGGCATATATAAATATTTACTTGTGTATGCTTCCTGACGTGCATAAATATGCACTTGTGTATGACTCCTGGCATGTATAAATATGCACCTGTGTATGACTCTTGACCTATATGAATATGTACCTATGTAGGTCTCCTGACCTGTATAAATATGCACCTGTCTATGACTCCTGGTATGCATAAATATAGACCAGTATATCACTCCTGACACGCATTAATATGCACTTGAAAATGACGAATAATAATTATTTAACAATTCTATAAAGACTAAGTACAATCTCTTATAAGGACATAATATATTATTTTTTAATGCTTTTATAAACTAGCGCATTGTTTTAGAGCAAAGTTTTTGATCAACATCATTAAGGGGCTATTTCCCCAAATCTCTTTCCTCTGAAACAACGCTTTTTAGCAAATAATATGCTAGTTTTATAGCCGTCGTAAAGTTTCTAACAGTTATTCATGACTGTTAAGTACAATTTTATTCATCTTTAGTCAGCGCTTTCTATGCCAATTATGAGAATTATGAAGAAAAAAATCACCGTTTTGTGAAAATAAAAAGTGTTTGTGGTCTAATTTTATTTTGTTTAAAACGTTATTTTAAAATCTTACTCCCTGTAAATCTGTGTTTAGATATAGACTTTCTTAATATCTATGTTTGGTTCATATTGGTTTTCTTTGCGTCAAGTTATGGCTCACTCAATCTAGATATATGGCTCTTTTTAAAGGGGACAAACTGTATCGTATTTGTAAGTTGTGAAAATAGATTCATGAATTTGATAGATTCTTGTTTCCTGATTTGAAGAAAAACCCACGTAAAATGTAACTAGCTATGTGTATTTTTAAATCCAAATAATACGAATTGCAATTTATTGAAAATATCTATAAAAGATTTACTTTATTCATATACATTTGTTTTACGATGTTTTCGTTGCTTAACTAAACAATTGCAGCATTTGCAATAGTACTAAAATTTTTACAAAAAATAGTTAAAATATAATAAGAAAAAAAATTTAATATTTTAAATCGATCGACTTAATATCAGTAACAGCGTATCTGCGACTGCGATATCAATAATTGCAGCAATCACGCTAGTTGCAAAACAAAAAGTTTGATTTTGAACTCAGATTTGTAAAGAATTCGTTTTTCAAAGGAAGAATTTTGTGAAGGGTACGTTTTTCCGACAAAATGTTTTATGAAAGGTCCGGTTTTACAAAAAAATATCTTTCGAAGTATCCACTTTTGCGACGAAATATTTTGTGAAGAATTTATTTTTACGATAAAGTAACTTGCATAGGATCCATGTTAGTTTTAAAATTATTCGCTTAGGATTTACTTTTATAATAAAATATTTTATGAAACATCCGTTTTTACGATAAAATTTTTTGTGAAGTATCTGCTTTTACCATAAAATGTTTTGTGAATTATTTATTTTTACGACAAAATACTTTTAAATGATATGTGTTAACGATAAAATATTTTTCAAATTATCCGCTTTTACTATAATATATTTTGATAAGAATTAGTTTTTATGACAAAATGATTTGTAAAGGGTCCGTTTTTACGATAAAATAGTTTGGAATTATCTGCTTTTATGGTAAAATATTTTGTTTAAGATTTGTTTTTATGATAAAAACATTTTATGAAGGGTTCGTTTTTACGATAAAATAATTTATTAATTATCCTTTTCTACGATAAGATATTTTTTATGATTTTTTTTATAATAGCGCATTTTTATAGAGTCCATTTTTTCGATAAATTAATTTGTGAATTATCCCTTTTTTCGACAAAAAAATTTTTTTACGATTTTTTAAAAATTATACATTTTGTAAAGAGTCCACTTTTACAATAAAATGATTTATGAATTATCTGTTTTTACTATAAAATATTTTTTATGATTTTTTTATAATAAAAATTTTTTAAGGAGTTCATTTTTACGATAAAATGATTTGTGAATTATCTCTTTTTATGACAAAAAAAAATTTTTTGTGATTTTTTATAATAAAACATTTTGTAAAGCGTCCGTTTTTACAACAAAATAATTTATGAATTATCCGTTTTTACGATAAAATAATTTGTGAAAGGGTCGTTAACAGAAAAATTCATTTATACAAACCCTTGAGTAAAGCTACAATGAAAATCGCGGAAACCAAGTAAGTTTGTCAACATTTGCATGATAATTTTCTTAACAGTAAATTTATCCTGAGGAAATAAACGTTTTCGATAAACATTTATGGAGGCGGGAAATTGTCATGCTAGTGACTCCAGAAAAATAATTAGTTTTGATAAATTCATTATCAGAAATCTTTTTCCATTAAATCCCTTAAAGGGCTGTTATACAAAGGTGCAGCTACCTTTACAGAGATAGTTTTGCGCCCTCGTGCAATATATTACTTTAATGGTACTCATCAGGGCCATTTCAAGTTTTAGATTATAAAAAATTGAATTAAACTGCATTGGATTGTTAAATTTTGCATTGAAACAAATTTTGTAACCTTAAATAACACAGGGGAACAAATTTTTTGTTGCATTTATGCAAATACTTGATCTTGCCTAATTCGGGTATTAGGATTTCAAATCTGAAATTAACTTTTGCTTCTAAAGTTGCAGATTTTTTTTAATTAGAATTTTAGCCAATTTTTTGTTGAATTGTGCAAGTTTAAAAACGTGATATATAACAGGGGTAGCGTAAATGTTGCAAATGTTGCGTAGTTTGCAAACTGCTGAAGTAATTAGGGTACGTCATCAGGTAAAATTGCATAAGAAGCCATGCCTCGAAATGCCATTGTACGCGGATAGGACGACGTCCCCTATTTTGATCTATTCAGAAGCCCTCAAAGAAACAGTTCATAATAGGGAAAAGCTCCTAGTGGAGTATGACGAAATTTTTGGGCATGCATTCTTATGCAATTTCAATCCTGATGATGAAAAGATAGTTGTCTAGATGTTTGTCTAGTTGATGATTTCTAGAAGTTTGTCGCAGCATTTATGCCACCCTCTGTTAAATTTAATGTTTTTAAACTTGTACATTATAATAAAAAATACACTAAAAATGACAATTTAAAAGAAAATCGGTAGCTTAAAGACTTTATTTAACATTTGACATTTAAATCTGTAACATTTAAAAAAAAAAACTGTAGCTTGGAGAGAGAAATCGATTGCAGATCAAATTGTAAGAATCGATTGAAATCAGTGACGCGAAAATATCCAAGATCCGTTGAAAAATCTCATGAAACAGAAAACAAAAAAGAATTTGCTCCCCAGTGTAATGTGTTTTTTTTTCAAACAACCTAACTCGATAACTTTATAAATATTTATTCGATTTAGTTTAAAATTTATATAGTGTATGTTACTAATGCAGTTTCTTTCACACTTAGATATTTTTGTTTGAATGATGAGGTTTGTTCGAAGAGAATTTTCAATGTGTTCAATTTAAAAATAATTTTTAAAAAAATCCTTCGTGCAAAGCAAGCCACATTGAAAATAGATATTCTATTCAGCGGCAAAAAGTAAATTGAATCAAAATTTGAAAAAGTTTTGGGGCTCGTAGTTCACAATTGAAACTCAGGGACATAACGCTAACACACACACATATAATGCAATTTTTTTTGATAAGTTTTGTTTTATCATGTGTTCGAAATTCTTTTTTAGAAGTCATAGCATTAGAAATAGAAATGAAATCATTTAAAGTCACTTTTCTCGAAATCGATCTTGAAGCATTTTGCAGGGCAGTGTACGAACTTATTACCGCAACATTAAGTCTATTGGAAGGCAAATTGTCTTACATTGGACATATTAGCCGCACTTTAAAGTGATTTAGACATAAGGAACACGATAAATATGTCCGTTATACGAGAAATCATCAATTGCTGCACATTGATGGAACCTATGGCATAAATCCAAAATTATTTCCACTCCAATCACATCGTGATGCATATGGAGGCCCTTGTTAATGGCATTAGTTCTTCATAACCTCTCTATAGCAGTGTACCTTCTCAGTCACAGTGATTTCAATTTATTCTTCATTTTTATTCTATCTCGTCTGAGTTTCTCACCTTTATTTCTATTTTTAGTTGGCAGCTTCGCGTTTTATATTTCGAATCACTTTTGTTTCATTAAAAATTCTGGATATTCTTAAAAGTGGGTGTCAATTTTTGAGCTCCTGAGAGCATGTCGATGTTATTTCCGATCTGTATATTTTTGAAGCGAATGAAATTTTTTAATCCAATAATATCTTCTCGCTTTAGTTTCTTAGGCTTATTTATTTAACTCATAGAAGTTCTCCGCCTTGATACGCAATCCAATCCATATAAACTAACATTTCCATGATGTTCTGCAGTCTTTTTGAAAACTGCTTTAAAATCCTTCTGTGCTTTTTAACTCAACCTCTTTCAAAACGTATTTTGATCTGATGGAGGATAACTAGTTTTACTTTATGAATAAAGTACCTTAATCTACACTAATAATTTAGTTTCAATATATTTATTTTATAAAAAATATATATCAGTATTACTTTTTAAAATCTCACCTAGCTTTAAATATTATATCTTTGTCTTAATATTATTTCTTCTAACCTCTATTTTACTCTTTTGCTTTTAATATACTTTGTAGGTATGCTACCTTTTAGCTTATTTTATTCTCTAACTGGTCTTTAATCCTCTTTCCTAAATAAATAAAAAGAAAGAAACATTTTTTTTTAATGTTTCTTATTTTACTTCCTCACCTTCAGCTTACGTTTGGATGATTGTCTTCAGATAAATCGCTATTGTAAATCACACAAATGAAATATTGCATCGTAATATTCTTACGAATTATTATACTTATCGTTGACAACTATTATGTTTATTACTAAATTGATGAATATTAATGTTAACTGTAACTCCTGAATATAATGTAATCTAATGAATCCAGTTCCAATGTAATTCACAACCAGAATGCTTCAAGACTGTGTGATACTTAAATTGCGGTAATTGTTTCATCTTTCAATGAATTAATAAAGGTTAATGGTTAAAATACTAATATGTATAAATAGAACTTTTAACACTTAAAAGGTTAGCTTTTTTATTAATCAATCTTACAACAAATTTTATTTTATGAACAGTAATCTGGATGATAATTGTCATGGAAAAATTCTAAATAAAAACTTATTTAGCACTTTGCTTAGTTAATCAAAGATGATTGTTAACAAGCAGACTTTTTAGTAAGTTGATTTGCAGAAAAACATACTTCATTAGCGTTTGAAGAGTTTTTACAATCTTCTGAAATTCTGAAAGTTTAAAGGCATAACTTTTCTTTTCATTAAAAATGAACGATAAAAGTCCACGAAGGGTTGTCTGTATTTTAAAATTTAATTTTCGCGAGATTTTATTCTCTCTTTTGTTCGATTAAATGTGTAGAACTTGTAAATACTTTATTAGATTTTTTACCTGTCTATTAAAAAAGTAGCAAAGTTTTATTTTTTTAATGTATCTGGAATAACGTATACGATGATTGCTTCTTTTTTGTAATTAAATATGCCATGTACTGCTTACGTATTTTTAATAGTACTATTTTTGACAATTTCTGTATATATTTTCATTCGATACAATGATATTTCACTAAAAAAAATATCTTAGAGTAATGTTAGCATTGTTGTTAATACTTTTTATTCCATTTAGATTATGTATTTTATTTTTGCATTTTGGATTTCATTTAACTTTTGGGGAAATTTTTATTTATTTCAAAAACGAAATTTTAATAGCGTTAATAATTATGCGTATAACAAAGCTTTTTTTTAGAGGCATCTTATACTATACCAGATAGTTTCAAAAGAGTTAAACCTTATAAAAATTAAAATCAAACCGTTTAAAATTATTTCGTTAGAATCGTAAAACGGTACAAAATCATTTAAATTCATTTTAACTTATCCCAGATAAAGTGCATTAATTAATTAAAAATGGTTTCAAATAGTGTAATTAGTATGTAATTAGTTGGAATGCATTCTAACTTATGACATTTTAAAAGGAAGGAATCTAATTTAAGAGTTTAAATTGATTTAAGAAATTTAAAGGTTCTAATTTTAACTGGAATCCCACCTGCAGCATCAAAATACATTATCTGAAATATAATAACAGAACTAAGACAGATAACTTTTTAATGGACTATTATTTAAAGTCCCATCATTTGCACTTGAACTGCTGCCTATTACAATAATTTTGACCCTCAACGCGCTGCAGTCAGAAAAGTCTATATTCATATAGTATAATATATGAAAATATCTGAATGATTTCGTTCAATTGCTTCTCAGATTATTATGAAAGTAACGTTAATGCCTTAATTCAGTCCAGCATTTAAATATATTGTGCGTTATTAAGTAATCTATTTGCAAACGAAAACACTATTTTAATACTTAGTACCACTTTTTAATATGTATAGAAAGCTCACTTCTTTTAAATTTCACTGAATTAAAAATAGAGGTATAATAGTGTAATAAGTTCATTTATTATACCTGATTAGTTTATTTATTAATTAGAGACTGTGTTTTAAAATATTACAATCAGAGAAAAATTTTAATAGTTCCATCCTTTATTAATATAAAAAACTTATATAACAGTCCGATGTAGCGCCAATTCGTAATAGCAGAAGAAATTGTCGTAAGTTAAGTTATAGAATAATAGGTACACACGTTGAATGTTTAAGTAAAAATTATTAAAAGTTGACACATTTATTTCTTTTGAACAACTGTTTCGTTTAAAATGCAGATCTTGTCAACAGAGCTCCGTTTTAAATGATATGCAGCTAATTTACGTTTTTATTTTTTTATCAAATATCTTCTTTTAGCAGCATATTTCCTTAGTAAGCTGGTAATTTTTAACTCGTCTTAATTCTTTTTTCTTTAACATTATCATTTTGTTGCGAACTTCTCATAACATGCTTTTAAAGTGTATTCAAATTACATTAAAAAAAAACCTTTTAAAAATATAATTGTGGATATCTGTTCTTTCCGAAAACAGCAAATTCAAGTATTTGAATGAAGACATTTGTTTTTCTGGTTATTGATGTATTTTTTTTAAAAAAAAATATTCCGAGCTGGTTTTCAAACTAAACGCTTTGTTTTCACGTCCAATGAAGTGCTCAAGTTCAGAAACATTCCTTATGAGTAAATAACAAAAAATTACTCCAGTTGTTCTTTATTTATTTTACTGCGCACTTTAATTCTCATGTGTATTTTTACTTGTAATAGAAATGCTAAAAAACTAATAAGTAAATAATAAAAATTGTTTCTTTTTCATCTTCTAATTCTTGATTTTTTTTTCTATTTCAGCGATTTTTAAAAGGTGCCCTGCTGTTCCGTGGGAAGGTCACATGGGTTCCGAGAGTTATAACTCTTTTTTAACCTGTCATGATTTTCATCGCNTATTAAAGTAGAGAAAAATTATTAAAATATGTTTTTGATAAATATTCACAAATTTAAAAAAATTGTGAAATAGAATAAAATAAGGAAAAAATATAATCTCGTCATCAGCCTACACGATTATATCCTTGAAAAAATAGTGCTTTCTAATAATGTATTAATATAGCCAAAGCAAAACATATCAATACAATAGTGAAAGGAGCACCAAAAAATTTAAACGAAAATAGAACTTATTAAGAAACAAATGTAAAATTAAAATGAAAAATGCAAAATCAAACAATCAAAGAAAAAAGAAAGTAAAAAATCAAGAAAACACAGAATAAATCTCAAAATGTAATATATAAAGCGAATTCAAATGTACTTGCACTTACAGGCATTTTTCAATGTTTTCGTAACAAGTTTGCCAGAAAAATACCTGTAAGTGTAAGTACATAAATATGCTTTTTATCGTCTTTATTTAAAGTTTTGCAAACAATGTTTAAATGTAAAATTTTTACTCTAATTGGCAGTTTGTTTCGAAACATATAAAATACAAAGTCGTCACCTAGTTGAAATGGGGAAATTATATCGCTATAGTGATTTCAGAATTTGTATCGTTTTTGTTTTTTCTGGCAAAATAATTCCATTACAATTCCACTTATAAAATGTTTTGGAAGATTGTAAATTATTGCTGGTTTTCAGATTTTTCAAGTTTTTTTTTTCTAAATTTCAGTTTTGTTTAAATCGGCTCTCATTCATTCAAACAGTTATAAAAGTAATTTTAAAAAATCTAAAACAACTCAACGGATATACTCAAAATTATTAACATTTGACTCAAAACTGCATAAGTTAAAAATCAGAATTACGTAATTTTATTTATATTGTTGAAAATATCCGATTAAAAGTTTTGAAAAATTATCAAGCTATTCAATAAATTGATAAAAATTGCGAAATAAAGTCGACAAATTCATAATTTTAAAACTACAATTTCTTGGATAGGCATTGGTTTAGTGTTCTTTTCTCACAAAAATACATTATTATTATGATATCACAAAAACAAGACCCTGTCAGAAAGAATTTGACTCTGACTTTTGAAAAAAAAATTCCGAAAAAACTCCTAAGTAAATCTGTAAAGCAGTCTAATAAGCATATCAATTGACTGTTTCTAATATCTCTTCATTGCCTTAGGTTCATTGATTCTAAAACACCTGTATGTTTCCTAGAGTATAAAAATCCTTTTAATAATTTATTACAATGAATTAATATTTCTGTAAAAAAAATATATATATATACCCGGTTTTATCCGACCAGATCCAGGTTAAATAAAACACCGGGTGCGAGCGCACTTCAATATGTAAAGAAAAGGGACATAACTAGGACTGGGCTATAAATCGATATATCGCGACATATCGATTTAACGCCTATATCGGCAAACCGATACAACAACTTTCATTCCAAGCGATGCATCAGAAATCTGATTTAAGCCGTCGAGTGAAGAAGACAATATAACGATATAGCGATATAGCGATACACGCAAGGACTTTCTCTTACGTTCCGATGCCAACTCGCGCTCCCTATATATATATTGTTTCGTTNTCGCTATATCGCGATGCAAAACTGACGATATATCACGATATATAATTTCTAATATCGCCCAGTCCTAGACATAACTATTTAAAAAATATACATAGCTGTTCAAAAAATGTACATAGCTGTTTAAAAAATGGACATAGTTGCTTAAAAAATGGACTTAACATTTAATTCCTTTTTTTTAAGTTCTCTTATGAAAATTGTTTCTTTTAATGAATAAACTTTACGGATCTAAATAAATTCGTAATGTTATGTCATCCATTTTTCTTAATTACTTAGTACATTTTTAAACTTAGTTTTCTTGGGAAGATATTAAAAGCCAACAGACGTTTTACAAGGCTACCACAGGTTCTATAAATTTTCAATGGTGGTTATTAAATTGACGTGGTGAGAATTGAGATTTCTTATAACCATTGAATCGTTTAGTATTCTGAATGCGAAGAGATGCTTGAAAAGTTATATGTATAAGCCAGCCAACCCGAATCTTAGTCACGTAATGAATATGTTTAGATTTAAAAAAAATGTAAGGATAAGTAAGTTCGAAATTGATCGTTCAGTTGTTAAATCTGTGTGAAGCATTTGAACAGACGCATTTTTTGCTGTGTCCAATTTCTTAAACAAGTATTTTGAACTGTGTTCAAAATAAATAACTCACCGAAGCTGTGAAAAGCATTTTTGTAAAAAGCAAGTCAAACCTCAATTAAATATTTCTATTATTAAAAAGTGTGCTGTACAGGCAAAGAAATTAAACAACCTGAATAAGTTTTGATCTAATTATTTATATTTTTGATTACTGGGACTCAATCTTTATGGATTGAGAAGGTTACCTGAAATATACCAATTGTTAATGCATCATAAGTTACGAAATCAGCACTAAAACATACTTTCTCTGAATAAACCTGCCTCATGCTTCCCGATCCACAAAATAGAGGTAGCCGCATTCTGAGGGTCTTAATAGTTTGCTCAGGAGAGCGGTCGTTACTTTTTGACCCCTGAGTGTTGAATTAACTTCTCGAGAATTTTTTAATCGAATTGAAAAATTTTAGCACACAAAAATTTGCTTATCCAAGGATAATTAAAAATGTCTGAACTGTAAAGTATACAAATTTTAGCATCATTTTAATGAATGTAATTTGAAAAGACAAAATACGAAGTTTGAACGAATAGTTAAAGAGAAATCGAATTTCAAAGAAAATATAAAATTCTTGAACAGCTCTTCTGACCTAACTATTTTTACCATATTTCCCTCCCCCTTATTTTCAGGTCAGAAATCCATTAGGAAAAAAGGTGTGTATATTCAGGAAAGTAACTTAAAACTGCACTAATTAATTAGAGGTGACCTCCTTGAGTGGAAATCGATCATAAGTTATTCAGAGTGCGCATTGTTCATTATATACTTTCGTGTTTTGAATGAATAAATCTTTTTATTTTTAGCATTCTTTTTGCTGATATCGTGGGTTTTACAGTTCTGGCTTCACAATGTACTGCTCAAGAGCTTGTCAGACTTTTAAACGAACTTTTTGGGAGGTTTGACCAGCTATCAAATGTAAGTATTTTTATCGCGATTTTTATCATTAATAATAGCTTCTGCAACTCTTCAAGAAAAGTTCCTATGCTATTGTTTTGCAATAAATATTAGGGTATATATAGTGTAAAAAATATAGTTTATATATACTTACCAAATTTTCACGTTAAAAACAATCTCATCAAATCTCATCAAGTCAAGATTAAAAATTTAAAATCCCGCAAAAACAAGGAAAAACGATTTTTCAGCGAAAACCCTATATAACCCGGGTTTTTTATGAAATACTCAAGTAAGTTTTGCATTTTCAAAAAAATAAAATATTAAGAAAATAAACAAAAATAAAAAAACATGATTTTTAGATCCCGTTTTCTTTATAATTATAAATTAGGTTTAACGTTATTCATTTACGTAAAACGTTGAAAGAAACTACATTTTGTTATAATTTCTTTTAAACATTTAATTTATTTTTCTTTCTAATTTTTGCTTATTTAAAAATGATAGATATTTAGATATTTGTATTTTTATTTGAACTACACTGCAAGTAATTGTTTTAATAAAAAGTTCAAACCATCAAATTTTCCTTGTAAACATATGCTCCATGATTTCACTTTTCACAAAAGTTTTAAAAATGAACAATGATTTGAAAAATCAATTATAGATAGAAAATAAAAATGTGTGGTTTGCTGCTTTCTGCATTAGAAACGAAATATTCTTCCGAGGAAATTTTTTTTAAAAAAGGCTTTTCTACAGCTAGAGTTATTAACTCAGAAAAACTATAAAACAATTTTTTTAAGGAAAAAAAAACAATATCCGCAACAATGTGGTGATCGAAACTAACAGACGATCGAGCAAAAATTTATGTTGGAATGGTCTAACACAGCAGTTCTCTCGGCCAGCGTGATATGCTAGTCGAGAGTCTAAGCCAAGATAACCGCTGGTCTAAATTTAAACAGAAAATATTGTTTTTGAAGCTTTTTTTAGACTTTGTTTTGATGTAACTAATTCAAGTTGGTGAAAATAAAGTACATTTCTCCACTAACTCCTTTAATTATTTTTCTAATGTTAAATGTTTGTGTAAAATAAGTAAAGCTTGATGATACAATTATTTTTTATTAGGATAACCACTGCCTTCGAATTAAAATACTTGGAGATTGTTACTATTGCGTTAGTGGTCTGCCTGATCCTAGATCTGATCATGCTCATTGTGCTGTAGAAATGGGATTAGACATGATTGATGTGATAGCGTAAGTAACTCTCTCTTTTCATACAAGAGCCTTTAATATGTATATTTTTAAATCCTTGTCAAAAATGAAATTTAAAAAGTAAGAATCACAATTTGTTTTTAATTTCATTGTCCAAATAAAATTTTGTTTAAAATTTTTTAATTAATTACATTTAGATATATTCTCATGTATTTACTTAGTGTTTCTGGATGTTTTAGTTCATATACAATTAGTTTCTATCTTTTCGTTTATTATTCTTCAAGGAATTAAAATGATAAAGATAAATAAATTTTTAGCTGTTAGCTTGCAACTTTATTTCCATTTCTTTTTATTTCAAAAGTTAAAAAAACAATGCTTTATTTGCTCAGACTACAATAATCAAGGAAAGGGCTAAACATGTTGCTTCAGATAAACAATTTCGTGTTTGTTATATTAACAATTACGTTTTATTCCTACAATTATGATTAATTGTCAATTTGATAATTAATTCTAAATTACAAAGATAAAATTTAAGATGTTTAAAGGTGCCCTTCTCTCAAAGATGCCTTTCTTAAAAATTTAGTCGTAAACTTACAACTTATTCCATAATTTTTCATTCAAGAGCTAAAAGCAGTGCTTAACTTGCTCAGACTACAGTATTAAAGGAAATGATAGCTGAATATTCAAATATTCAACCTGATTAAACTTGTTGCTTTAAAGAAATAATTGCGGGCTAATTATACTAACGATTACATACTATTCTAAACAATATAATTAATTACAGGGTTAAAATTTAGAATATTCAAAGATATCTTTCTCGTCCCTAAATTTAAAAAATTTTTTTAGGGGCGGTTCAAAAAGTACGTACACAAAAATGGAGAAATTTAAACTCCCCCCCCCTTCGTACATTACCGTACAGAAGGTCTTACTCCCCCCCCCCTTAGAGTACGTAAATTTAATTAGTCTACCCCCCTTTTTCATAAAAATTAAAATAATTATGTTTTAAATAAAATTAAATATTTACTTAAGGAGGGTGTAGGATAAAGTCAAATTTAAATTTGGTGTATGTTTATAAAGTACGTACTTTGTATAATACCTCCCCCCCTCCCCATCGTACAAAACCGTACATAATAGCAAATCCCCCCCCCCCACTTCGGAATGTACGTACTTTTTGAACGGCCCCTTAACTCTTTTTTCGTATTTTGTGCAAGCATAGGCGGTACACAAAAATGTAAGTTTCTTACATAAAAAATAAAAAGACTGTTTATAAAGCCCACCGCCTACATGCCCATTTATAATCGCTTTAAATATTTATTATTAAAATTTTCGTAAAAAACGAACTCAAAGACATATGAGGGATCACAAATTAATATTTAAACGGTCCCACTGTTCATAAAAAACGGTTCCTACATGAATATAAAAGCAGCCTATATTAGTCCCAGGTTCCTCAGCCAACGCTTTTTCTGTAAAGTGCTCAACTACCTAGGAGGGGGAAATATCTCCTCTGTAGAGAATCAAAATTGTGATGGCATGTCTTATCCTCAGGCATTATCCAGATCGTGATAGGCTTTTGACAGTTATTTTTGTTTCACTAAATATTAGCTTGCGACCGATAATCTGCTTTTTTTTATTTCATTTTGGTCAGATTTTTAAGATATACATTAAGGGTGTTCATTCCAGAAGCAACACGCATTAATTCCGTTTTAGATAAAATTATTAATTAGTCATTATTTTTAATAATTATTATCAATAATAATAATTATTACAATTAATTGCAATTATAATTATCATAATTATCATTATCATAGTTATACTTATTGTTTATTATTAATAATAATAATTAATAATAGTTATAGTATTGAATATAATAGTTACAATAATTAATTATTAATTCATTATGAAATAATTTAGATCATAATTCTTCAGGTAAATTAATTTTTAATTGTGGTATCAGAACTTAAGCTCATGCTATTAGTAACCGTGTTATAATTTAATTCTCGCTAGTGCTTTGCAGTGTTCGTAGTCGTCCTGTAAATCCAGATAAAAAATATTTTGTCCTGATTTTTAGCCTTTTGTCCTGATACTCCTGATTTTTGTGTGTGTTCAGAACATCTCAGTTTCTAAGAATATAAAAGCTGAATTTTCAATAAAAGAAATTGAAAATCGAAAGATTTCAATCTTTGATCCAACATTTTTTTTTTTTTTAATTTTAATTTAATAATTTTAGTAGAAGTTGCAATATTTAATTGTTCCAATTTAGGGATCGTCTATTGATTATATAGATGGACATCTTGTCTTATCATTGTTTCAGCTTTTTTAGATAGATAGGTATTTTATTTACGTCACTCAAGAGCTGCACAATGGGCTGTTGGCGAACGTCTGAGAAACATCCCTAAGGATGATCCGAAGACATGCCATCACAATTTTGTGTGGCCACTTCCTCAATTTATACATAGATCTGAAGGGAAAGGAGATTTTCTTCAGATTCCTGTACCCGTGGTGCTGCTCAACGACCGACCACATGACTTTCGATTCCACAGATTTTACGAGTACGTATATCGAATGTACTCGGTGGGTCGTAGAGGAGTCGAGATCGAACCCCGGCCTCCGGACCGGAGTCTGATTCTCTTAGCACTTGGCAACCATGGCCCCAGCCTTTTTAGAAATTCAGTCATACTATGAAAAGGAAACATGATTAACAACTTTACGTCATCAAATTTATATGATGATAGATTCAGGGGTTATCTGTTAATTTATTTTTTTTTAGAAAATACAATAAAAATTCTCGTTGGATGGAGTTACACATTTACTGATTCTTCATGTGATTTTTAAAAAAATTGATTCTAATCAAAAATAAAGTAATCATATCATGGAATTTTTAAGTGGAGAATCGTGGAATAGTTCACTAAAATTATTTCTATTCAAAAATATTAAGAATCACATGTTTTTGTTTCGAGATTATTCTACTTTAAAATTATTTGATGAAGCAATTTTACAAATTTTAATTATATGTATTTATATGCAAGATTATTAACTAATTGATTCTGGATTTTTTTAATGCTACAGTAATATGAAATTTTTCTATATAATTTAAAACTATAAAAAGTGGTTCAGTATTGATAAAATTATACTGGAAACTATCAAAATTTTCTGTTCTAATAATTTGAAAATTAAATATAGTTTTTTTTATTCTTTTACTGTAAAATTTGCTTTTGTTACAATTAGTTAGAGCAAATTATACTTATTAGTTTGCCTTCTTGAAAAGTAGTACGGGGTATGTATACTGTTCCATAATATTCTGATTTTTCTAAAATAAATTTTAGAAAAATCAATAATTTTAAATTTTCATTTCTTCTCTTGTTTTTTTTTCTTTGGCCAACTAAAAAGCCTGTACTATGCCAGCTTAAAAAATCTTTACACTTGCAGTTATATTTACCTGTGTGAAAAAAAAAAATTCGAAACTGTATTGTAATGGATACATGATATTAAATCTCTTGGAATTGTATTATAAAAATTTGTTTTTTCTATTTTTATGTTCAAAATCAAAATTATACTGTTAAAATGTAAAATTATCCAATAAATGAAAAAAAATTTTGTCAGCTAAAGTAAACGCCGCTCTCTTTAAATTCATTTTTTTTTTATCATCATTTCCAACAAGGCTCAAAAAATTATATGTAAAGATTTGAATTTGTCTTCTATTTTTTTATCTTTATCTACTCCACTGGCCATATAAATTATATTTAATCAGAAATACACAAAAATACTCCAATTTTGATTATAAGTAAGAATTTATCAAACAATCTTTTTTATTTCATAGTAATGCTTACTTTTATTATAAAATTTTACTTCAGTCAATCTTCTATAAAAAGTAATAAAAGTTTAAATGTGAAAGCAAAAGGTGGGATGATACCGTTTTAATTAATCTAACTTAACATCTGCTTTGATTTTTTATTGAAATTTAATACAGAAATTTGATAGTGATCGAGCAGTTTTTGAAGTAAATTTTATATTTGTTCTAACTTGGCGTTATTTCCTAAGCTGCTTTGTCTTAGTGATAAGTGATCAGAATTATGCTGTAATAAATTTCTTTAAATAAATAATAGTTACATTCATCTAGGTACAATGGAAGACTAACTGATTTCAAACTTACAAATCTCAAAAAAGTAATAAGAAGGACAACAATAATAGATTAGTAATAATAGAATAGTAATAATAGAATAGTAATAATAGAATAGTAATAATAGAATAGTAATAATAAAGAAGAATGATAATAAGGAATAATAATAATAGAGGAATGAAATGAACGACGTATTAGTTATGAAAGATGTAAAAATTTTGCACAGAAATTTCACAATTTAGTTACAAAAATTAATTAGAATTGAATTAGAATAAGTAACAAATGCCCTAAATTTATGAGTGATCTAAAGAGGATTGTTTAATTAAGGATACAAAATTCTGATGCGTGTGTGTTAAATTTTATAATGAAATGTTTTTTTTCTTGAATAAAAAATTATATTCATTTCAAATTTATTACTTTGTGTATTTTATTTTAAAAAAAACCAATAGGTATATTGAATATTGGTTACGGGATAATGTAGAATAAAATTAAATAGGAATAAAAGAAAATTGCAAATGAAGCTTTAATAATGACGTTAAAAATAAATCAATTTTTATTTGCTGGACTTGACGGCGGCCCTTTATTTATTCCATAAACTATCTTAACGTAGTTTCGAATAATGAATGAAAGGAATGAAATACAGATTTCTGATGGATTTTCTTCTTTTCTGATCAATCAATCCTGGTAAAAATTGAATGTCTGCTTAAATTGTTTCCTTTGAAGTCTTTCAGTTAAAATGCTTTCCGGTACTTCTTTTGTTCGCTTTTCTTTCTTCTAAGTGGTCACTGAAGTTCTTTGACAAATGAGGATATTAAATTGTCTAATATATCAGAACTCTATCCGGCACTTATTTCTTCAAGAGCTAGTAATGTCATTTGCTTTTTTTTTATATACAATTTTTTTTTACAGTTCAAATTGACTTTCTTTTATAAATAAAAGAAATCAAGAAAATAAAGTTAAATGCAATAAATATAAAATTTTAATTTTAATAAAGAAAGATTTTTGAGGTTGAAACACATGAAATGACTCGCTTGCCGAAGCTCAGACGGTCCCTCGCAACTGTTATTAAACACTCTGATTTTATAATTTAATTAAAATGCATTAAGTTCTCAACTCCTGTTCTCTCCAGAAACTTTGATCGGGCTCTTTTTTCTGGTAATAAAATATTTTTGAAGTTGAGATTTGATTTCCTGAAAGGAATTATTTTAGCTTATAACCTAAAAGAAATTCATTTAGAATTCCTTAATTTTATAATTATAATTTTTATAATTTTTCATTTTTATAATTTGTAATTTTATAATTTTTATAATGTTGAATTATTATAATTTTTTATTCAGATAAGAATTCTTATCTGATATTTTTTAAGGATGTTTTATTTCAAAATTATTTTATTCAGTAATTTTTTATCAATTATTAAGGTCAGAAACAATAAATTTAAAATTAACTTTTAATAAAGTTTAGCACGATTTTTTCAGTGATGTGTTAAGAGAAAAAAAAATACATTTAAAACCATTGCAAGTTACTTAAAGCACATCAAGTTGCTCAAATGCAAACGTTGCTTTTTTATTGCAGTTGTTATGTTATATACATTAATCTCTCAATTTATATTAGAATTAGGCCAGTTTTGTTTGCCTTCAAAAATTCCAAATTTTCCCTAAATTCTAAGTTCGATCCTTAAACTTACAAGGTTTTTCAAAACTATTTCTTAAAAGGTTTTTTGTATCACAAACTGCTGTATAGAATGATTTAAATTTTTTAAAGCAATTTCAATACTCTTCTATAAACTTTTTTGGATACTAAATTATTGTATTTGGATTGCGTTTACTTGAAGTAAGTAACAAAATGTTTCTTTTATTATCCAATATTTGGTGACTTTGGGATATCAATATAGAGTTATAAGGATTCTCTCTTAAGGATGGTTTCTGCTTAACGATCTATTTATAATATCATGATGAGAGTAATGAATGTTTTTCTTTATTAATAGGTCAGTTGTAGAAGCAACCGATGTTCATCTTAACATGAGAGTAGGTATTCATACAGGTCGAGTTCTGTGTGGTGTTCTTGGTCTCCGGAAGTGGCAATATGACGTCTGGAGTAATGATGTCACACTTGCGAATTATATGGAAGCTGGTGGTGAGCCTGGGTGAGTTTATACAAAACCGATACAGGATATAAATATATATATATACATTCCCTGGTCAAATTATTCGACGCATTCAATGTAAAATCTTAATTATCAGGTTATACTATACAGCTTTATTGTTTTTACGCTGCTGAAAACGGCTTGCACTTGTTTACGTTAGTGTATATTATATTAATATAGAATATTTATTATATTAGGTATTATATTATTATATAGTAATAATTAGATCAAATTATTAGACGCACTGTAGTTTTTTAATAATTACATTTTTGGCACGAGTTTATATGCAATACTTTTATATTTAAACATGTATGCAATGGGTTTCCATTCGGGAAATTTTTATATACCTCCTATTTGTATTTATTTTTAACGTATTGCATTACGATGATAAGCAATTGATACACGAACATAGACAAGTAAACTGGTTTCAGCCGCATAAAAACAATAATGCTGCATAGTATCACCTGATAATTAAGATTTTACATCGAATCTTATAGTGCGCCTGATAATTTGGCCATAGTTATTAACTGTTGTTTTTATAACTATTAATTTCATAGCTTACTTTAATGATTAGCTTTTATTTCTGTCTGAAAGTGAATATTTAGCTTGCTTTCCATTGTTGTTTAGTAATTTTAACAGTAATTAAATTTCCTACTTATTTCAACATTTTTATAAATTGTGTGTCAAAGACAATTTAAACACTCGGTTAAAGAGTGGAAAAATTATAAAACGCATATATATATATATATATATATATATATATGCATACAATATAGATACAGTAGAGTACTGATTGATTTCAAAATTGAGCATTAGGTAATAGAGGAAGGAGGCAAACGGTATGTTTATTGTGAAAACTGTAAATATCGTATACAAAAATTTTGGAGACCTAATTTTAAAAAAAAAGTTGCCAACAAATGGCTCTGCAAGCAAGTGATGACCAGGGGTGATGACCAACAATCGATTCTAGAGTTAAAACGTGAAGGAGATTATCGAACTGAATTAGGAGGTACCATGTACTCTATTGAATTCTTTATACTGTATGCTTCTGGCACTCCAATATCACAGGTTAGATTACAGTCTTACAGCACTTGTATTCTTTTCAAGAATTCTGCACAGCTGATAGCACCCGCTGTTGGCAAGTTCTGTTACTAAATTCCAAAATTTCTGTATAGAATTTTTATAGCTTTTGCAATAGACACCCCGCTATTTCATTCTTCTACCATTCTTTGTTCCCGATATTTTTAATTTTGAAATCCTTAATTAGACCTTCGCTCGTTTAGGCATTAATTTTTCTCCTATTGTTTCTGATTTTAATTCAAAATGTTTTCGACAGATGGCGCTGACTTTCAACCGCTATTTTTTTTTACATCTAACTAAAGAATTCCTTCCAAGGAGACTCATGAGCCGTGATGCAAACGAGAAAATGCGCATTTCAAAAAAGGAATATTTTCCACGCCAATGGACAACTAGTCAAATTTTCATTTGGCTAAGTTAACCGAGCTTAAAGCAAAAATTCAAATATTTTCCTCATAATGCTGCTTCGTTATTGCTCTGTGTATAAACAAGAATTGGTTTTGAAACGTGCTAAGATGTTTTCTCAAACATACACAAAACAGAGCGTAATGTAGCCTTCTCTTCCCTTACTTCGGAGATCACCTTAATTATGACATAAACATTCAAACCAGAAGAGTTCCCTTTTACATCTGAATCAGCACCTGTGTTAAATGTTTATTCCCTACTTCAAAAGATCCTTAAGGATAATTTCATTTTTTGCACGCCTTATCTTCCTATATATAAATAGTCTACATTTTGAAAGCTTTCGTCGAAATGGGGAATAAATTTTGACCGTTGATCATTTCATCCCTAGGTTAAGTGAAATCAATACTATGAATAAATGGACAAGCATTCTCATTATTATTATTATTACTATTTTCCACAATTATTATCATAGATTTCATAGTTCAGATTACGGTCTTACGGTTGAGTAATAAAAATTACTGTTTTTGAGAATTTTTATAATATTCTGTAGGTAGGTACTTTATTAACGTTGTTGTAGTTCATTTACGCCGCACTAGAGCTGCACAATGGGCTATCGGCGACGGTCTGTGAAACATCCCTGGGGATGATCCGAAGACATGCTATCACAATTTTAATCCTCTGCAGAGGGGATGACACCCCCGCTTTGGTAGCCCGACGACCTGCACGCGAAGTCGAGCACTTTACGGTAGAACATATTAGCGAGGACCGATACCGCACACCTTCGGTCCCTACGCAGACTGATCAAATTGGTCACCCACTCGCACACTGACCGCACCCAGTGAGGCTTGACTTTGGTTATCTACTGGGAACCGTGTCTTTACTTTCAGTTCAATGCAGGACCGCAATATTCTGTTTAAAATGAGTTACTTATTTTTCCTTAACTTCCAAGAGTTATGAAATGTAATGTTTGCAGCTAATCTACGATAATTTTTTCCACTTCTTAATCATTTCTAAAAACAATAACGATTTTGTAGTAGCGAGAAATGAGAAAAAAAATCGGAGAATTCTTATTTTTCGCCTATTTAACAAACTATTCTAAAATTTCTCTCCTTACAGTAAAGCAAAAGAACATAATCACAAATCTGAAATTCTGTGAGCAAAGTGGTTCTTCAGTGGTTCAAATCATGAATATTTATGAAATAAAGTTTAGTTCTAATTTGACTAAAAACTAGAACATTGATTCCAAGTAATCAATATATTTCGGTACTTCTGTTTTCTGACAGCTAGTTTGAAAAATTAACACCTCTGCATCTAATATAATAAAACTGTTTAAAATGAATTACTTGTTTTGCAAAGTAAATATACAAAAAGTAAGAAATGTTAATACGTATAGTTTATGACCAGTGGCTTTAAAAAGTAAAATGTGAACAAAAAGGAGTACCAATGGGCAGCCATCTTCAAAAGAAAAATAATAAGCTTTTAAAATATTGCAAATGACAGATGCAATAATTAAAATAGATGAAAAAACATGAAACAGATACTGTATATTATTAAAACTGGACTGTAAATTATGAAAAAAAAGCATTTTTTCTATTATAATTAAAAGTTGAAAGAGTTCATTATGAATCGAACAAATTACTAATTAAGAATTCGACACAAATTGAGGCATGTATGTGATGAAAAAAGTATCTTCAACCGAACAAAAGAAATTCCCAATTTCCTCAACCTCATTTTTTTCCTTCTATGCTAAAATATTTTTTTTTAGAGAATGGAAATAATGAGTTCTGTGGAAGTATTTTTTGCTTCTTTCCATTTACTAGCGGAAAAATGTTCTTTGCATTCCCAATTGAAACGCTCACTTAGTTTATTAGTATAGAATTCAAATAGATTATTGAACTAATCAGTAAATAAAAGTTATTTATTATACTCATTTCTGTAATAATTCTTATGTATAAAAGCAGCGAATGCCTATCTTATTAGGAAAAATGCCACTATCTAAAAAAAATGATTTCTTTTTCCAACATACTGAAAATTATATAAAATTGAAAAAAAAAAATTCCGCGTTTCACGCTGTAATCATCCATGTAAAAAGAATTTTTATTATTAATTAAAAATGTTTTCTTTTTGGTTTGGAAACTAATTTAAGATTAATAAATAAAATATTTTTCCGAACAACGATTTATTTTTTTTCTAATTTTTGACTCTGATTAATGTAATAAATATTATGTCTTTAATTTGTCTTTTCATTATAGAATTTCTCCGAGCTTTAAAATTCTAAGTTAGAAATATGTCGTTTTAGATTCTATATGGTATTTGTATTTAAAACAAAAGAATTTATGAAATTTTTTATTTAAATTTAAAAGGAGCCTCTTGAAGAAAAAAGGGGAGGAATATTAATCAATGAAAGATTATACCAATTTGTTGCATTCCGTTTTATTTTTTAGCAGAATTTTAAATTTTTTGAATTATTTTTCATTTAAGAGCGATATAATGTTCTTATCAAAGTAGAGAAGTAACCTAACTAAAATTATCAACAGTGTTTTTAAACGATAGAATTTAAATAACTTTCACGCTTATTTTTTCTTTCTTTTATCGACTCAATTCTTCTCATAATTTAGTTTTTAATGTACAGGAAAACTGATCATTTAATATTTTTATATGTATATTATTTAGACTAATATCAATTAGGGATAATCTGCAAATCTGACCACAGTGTGGCCGATCAGTTAAACTATAATGGTATTGCTGAAAATTGTTTGAAAATTCTCCTGCTGTATATTTTAAATCATAGCAGATCTTCGTAGAAATATAAGTAATACATTGTTGTACAGATTTTTTTTTATTTATCTTAATTATTTTCATAGAATTTGACTTTAATCCGTAGCATATTAAAATGATTTTATGATTTATGCTTTTTAACCCTTGAAAATTTTGTGGTTTCTTTTGTCTTTTGCTTTCAAGGTATGATACATAAACATATTAAAACTACATACTTACAGTAGTTTTACTTTTTAATTCTTATTAAATATATTTTTCATACCTTTTTAATTATTTTATATCAATTTAGGTTGAGAGGAAAATATTATATTTAGCATTTTAATGATTAATATTTATGAAATACTGCATGTTTCTGCGTGGAAGGTGAAATCGTCCAATCTCGACTTATTTCCAAGCAATAATTTTTAAAATTTACAATCATTTTTAGTTATTTAGATCTACGAGAAGCATTTATTCATCAGGGAAATTTCTCTAATTTACAGAAGCAATTATTTTTTTTTTCCAGTGCCCACCTGTGTTAACCTCCGTCAATTCAGGCATATACAGGGCGATTTGTTGACCTCTCTTTCAGGGGCGCCATGTTAGGAGGGCCAACGTCGCTCCCAGAGTGAGGACAGATAGTACAGGGAAGGAAAGAACATCTATGCCTTGCCCGGGATTCGAACCCAGAACCTTTCTGATGAAAGGATAGTTCCCTGCCCCCTACACTGGCCGGTCGGTCTGAAACAAATATTGGTACATTTTTAAATATGAAGGGAAAGAAATTTCTAACTGCTTTTTCTGAATTTTATATTTTAGTACAAATATAATTCCGATAGTCTAATAGTTTTTTTGTAACTGTTAGCCTGTTTTTTTTCTTCTTGATAATTAAAAATATCAAAATATATTTCTTCTTGTAATCAGAGTGTCAGAAAAAATATATAATAAAGGGACCGGTGTCCCATCTGCGTTAAAAGGTTCAGAACGGTATAATAATTTATTTGTCATTCATGTGGATTCTATTTGTCATTCGTGTGGATTTAAAAAAAAAAATATTTATCATTTAGATTATTAATTTAGCTTTCTCAAAAAAAACGGAAAAAATATACTACTTGTTATTAGTTAACTTTTCATTAAATACAGGGATTGGCTTGATACATTTTTAATTATTCTAATTTTTTAGAAAGAGTTCTTATTATTTTTTATTTTAGACACTCGGTATTTAAGCATTGAGATTTTAGCAAAATAAAATGCCTCTTCACTGATTATATTAAACACAGGAAAGACCTTGATTCACCAAATGAAGAAACAGAAACCAATCTAGCAATTCAACAACGTCCTGCAAACTTTTCGAAAGCATAAAGAAGGAGGCAGGGCTATTCAATTTTGTGACTTTTTATACTATGAATCTGATAAACACGTCCTAGAAGAGAGAAAGTCTTCCCACGGGTTACCATAAACGAGAAATCCGATTCTTTAGTAGTTCGAAAGCTATGAAATTTTCTTATTGCCCCAACTGCGCAATTTAGTAGTCAGGACGTTGTGACATCGCCTTACATTTTCATTATAACTTTATAGATACTCAATGGAATTAAACAAAAATTTTGGAGCAATTTAGGATTAATAACAAAATTGTGTGTTTAAAATTTTAAAAAAATTCGTTACAAACTGAGCAAGTTGTGAGTATTTAAGCTAGTTCTTTTATACTGCGCATGCACTGAAAAAATTTTAAAAAAGTATTTTCATAATTTTGTAATGAATCATGTTTGTCAACTAACAAAAAAATGTGATTTGAGTATCTTGAAAATTTAAAAAATTTCAAGCAATTTTGTAAGTAGTTCTTATACTTTTCAAAGGCAAGCTTAAACTGATCAGGGGTTTTTCACAGATTTTATTTTGTATCATAAGACGAAATTTAATAACAAATGATAAAACCTTACAATATTGTTCCAGAAACTAAACTTTGATGGCATGAAGAAATGACACACGCAAAAAGAAACATATTTTTATGGGGGGTAGTCCTCCACAATGCCGGTTTCATTTTTAATAAATCTTGTTTAATAGTATCCGATGAAATTTGTGGATAACCCCTTTTTGTTTTGAGCTTTGTTTTAAAAAGTACAAAAACTACTTAGAAAATTGCTTGAAACTTTTCAAAATTTTAAGATATTCAAACAAATCTTTTATTTGTTGATAAATACTTGTCAAAGTTGCTAAATACGATTCCCTACAAAATTATTAAAAAAATTCTATGTAAGTTGGACATCAGTATCGAACCTGCCAATTACAATCAATCAATTGCTCAGTTACAATTATGAATCGACTACTGCTGTTAATAGAATGATAAAAATTGATCAATGAGTTACGATTCTTGTGTGCAGCACTGTCTGAGCATAAGAATGGTGATACCACTTTCTGTTGCTAAAAATCTTATACAAGACATTGTACTGCTCTGGATGCATGTAGGAATTTATATTCACTTTAAATGCTCTCATGCGAACTGGTTAAACAGTTATACGCAATCTGCGGTTTACTTCTACTACTTTCCTTTATAACCCTTATTTGTGGTGATGATATCGCTACTGCGTTTTTCAACTTATCCCACTTGTGTATTTTCCATTTCATAAACCCTTGTAAAATATTCTTTGTAAATAGAATGCCGCCAATAACTCTAGCAGCAGCTCTAGTTACACGCAAATTAAGTACTAACCTACCTACCTTGTAAATAGAACAGGCGCTCAAAGATCTTGTGATTAAGAATATAGCTGTGCTAAGCACAAAAGATTGATTATTTTCAGGATAACAGCAATGTGATATATATTTGATTTCTATTCTATAAAAAACAAATGTCTTCCTTTAATTACAATTCTTATTATACGGATAAATTATATTATTTAGAAAATTGTACCTAATGACGTAAAAAATGCTTATTAATCTCAAATATTCTTTTTAAAACCACTTTTATTGAGGTAAAAATCAATCTTTAGACCTTTTCCGCTTCTACTGTTCTAAGTCCCACAGTGGACAGATCGCAAAACAAGGTTTCCAGTAGATCATCCTAGCCAAGTATAACTTGTAGCTGTCAGAACGCGGATGAGTGACCACTTTCATCAGCCTGCGAAAGGACCAAAGGTGCGCGATATTGATATTTTTTCTCGATCTGTATCTGTTGTTGATCTGTATCGATTGTTCTACCGTAAAATGCTCTACTTCGAGTTCAGGTCGTCAGGCTATTAAAGCGGGGCAGCCAGCCACTCTGTAAGGAAGCAAAGTTTTGATGCCTTCGAATCATCGTCAGACATGTTTTCCAGACCGTCATCAATAGAACATCGTGAGCCGTAGAGGCTCAGGGGATAGCCTCCCAATGAGGTGCCCCGGGTTTGAATCCCAGCGATGGCTGGTCGATACTAATTCTGCTCCCGACTCGCACCGACGACAGTGCTGACGTAAAATATGCTCAGTAGTCGATGGATCATGGGTTAGAGTCCCTTTGCCGTCAAGCTAACCATGGGAGATTTTCGTGGTTTTCCTCTCCGTGTAACGCAAATGAAGGTTAGTTCCACAAAAAATCCCACCACGAATACAAATTTCTCCCAATACTTGATCCAGGTGTTCCCATGTCTTCTGAATCGGGTTCAAAATTACAAAGCTACGAAGTTGATCATTGGTAGTCGTAAACTCCTCCCGAAAGCTCAAACGAGGAAAGTCATAGGGAATTTCTTTTTAAATCAATTCCTAACTAATCATGGTTGTCATGGACATCATCAGGCCAGGTTTTTCGGGGGAGCTCAGTTGTGGCCTACCTGTCAGCTAGTTGAGGATTGGGAACATATATTAATCCATTGTATAAATTTTAAACACATTAGAGAGAAATTTTTTCATTCAAAAACCACCTATGAGTTTATTGGGCAGCATTGGTCAAACCCTAAACCCTAAAAGGGAATTGAGGAAATAGTGAGAAAATTGTTAAGTAACAAGGCACCTGCCTGAATCCTGATGGTCTCTTGCTGCCTATTGTTGGGAAAGACATACTTTAAATCTCTTATTGATTTACCTGTTGTGGTTTGATTTTTACTTGAATTTTCTCTTAAACTGTTTTTTTTTTTTTCATGCTTTCTGTCGATCTTTGCCCCTATGTGATTCCTCATTTCAAGATTTCAATCACTAGTGTTCCTAGAATATGTCTTTTTTTGTCTTCAGGAGAGGCTGCTGGCCTTTGCACCATGCGTCATAAATTATTCACCTGACTTTCAATGTACATGCTCACTGTTATGCTTGCACATTTTTACGTTCTTTTGATTAAACATTTACTGTGTTAAAAAGAAGAAAAAAATCTTTTCCTGGAACTTATACCTTAAGTACTGTTCTGTCAGCTGTGATTATATTCTGAGTTACAAGCATCTTATATTTAACATGTGTAATTGTTTCTTTTTATTAACTTTGCACCCCTACTGAAAATGCGACATTAATATCTCTTCTGTTTGATATTGTTTATATTATTTGTAATGTTTGTTTGTATTTAATTCATTTCTAAGTAACGCCGTTTTCTGGATTTCATATTTAATATTCTCCCTATTTGCTAAAACTCTAATTTGAAAATTTTGAATATGTTTGCTTATGTGATTGTTGCGCGCACTTCGAGCTATCGGATGCCCTCTTCAGGGGACGGGGCGGGGTTAAGCTAGTTATTGGTAATCTCAAAATTGGGAGGGTTGTTTTTCACCGGTGGTGAAAAAAGAACACATCGTGCAGTAAATAAAGTACTACTCTACTACTTCTATGGTTGAAATAAATTTTGTATGAAAGCAAATAACATTACTTCTGAAAGTTTGGTCATGAAAATTTAAAATGTGAAGAGTTTTATTCTTACTTGAGGAAAGCCTTTTAGTTATTATTATTATAATTATTATTATTATTATTATTATTATTAATAATAATATTATAATTATTATTATTATTATAATTATTATTATTAATTGAATTTGTTTTGTAGGCGAGTTCATGTTACTCAGTCAACATTTGATTATCTGCATGGAGAATATGAAGTGGAACCTGGTCATGGAGCTGATCGCAATTCATACTTAAGAGAGCACAATGTTGTATCCTATTTTATAGTTCCTCCTAGTCATCGTAGAAAAGTAAGTATTCTTGTCTAATTGGATATATAACAACAACAAAAAAAAAGAAAAATTCCACTTCAAAATTCCAAATTTATAAAAAGTTATCCCTGTACTTACGTACTTACTAAACTTTTTTTTAATCAAAAGGGAAAAAAAATTTAGGTTCTTACAGGAATTAGCCTAAAATCGGTCAAAAACGTCAGTTTTTTCTTTTTAAAAACCACAAATATTGCAGAAATTTTCAGTTTCAAGAATGTAAAATTTAGAATATAAAGTAGCAATAAAAAATTATAGATGGAACTGAGCTTTTGATCTCCTAAAATCTTTTACAAAACTCATCGATAAAGTTAATTAAAACTTATTTTAAAAAGTAAAAGAAAATAATTTAAAAGAAATTAATAATAAAATTTATAAGTTTGGACAGAACGAAATGAAACTTAATGTTATTCAATTTGACTAAAGAACTTTTTGGTGAATTTATTACTCATAAGGACAGTTTCTTATTGACTATTGACTTGAAATTTCGAAAAAATACTTCTATGAACGTTTTACTTTCCATGTGTGCTCTTTGAACGAAATCAAATTCTCAAACATAATCAAGCTTTCAGAATTTATTGTTTTGTTGAATAAAAGAGAAGGATTTTTATCGATTTCTTATTTTGATAAATTGGCAAATAAACTAAAGTAACAGTGTTGTCCGTTCACTGTACTGTCCAGTTTTCGCGACCACTACTCCCGACTAAAAGTTTGCGGTTGTCTACAGCTTTGAAAACAGAAGCAAAACCACTTCTTATGAGAGAGAAATCAAGAGATGACATGAATCTTCCTATCTAAACCAAAGCGAGACGATTAACCCCTTCTCCTCGTAACTACAGTAAGCCACTATCATACGAGTCTGACGGCTTCAGGAGTTCTATTGGTGGTCAGTCAGTAAGAAGATTGATTTTTGGAGAGTTCATACCGACGCCGATGTGTCTTTGTGCTGAAAAATCCTTATTGGCGCAAAGGCCTTTTCCCCGCCTGCTATTTTTTCTTTGATTCCAGTTCCTACGTAATCCCTAGATATAATAATTGGAATCGCTCACAATCCTACAATCATCTTCTTAGAGTCGCGGTGGCTCAGGGGATATAGCGTTCGCCATCCAATGAGGTGAACCGGGTTCGAATCCTGACGATGGCTGCTCAAAACGAATTCCGCACCGACCACAGTGCTGACGTGAAATATCCTTAGTGGTAGACGGAGCATGGGTTAGAGTCCCCTTGCCGTCAGGCTAACCGTGGAAGGTTCTCGTGGTCTTCCTCTTCCTGTAACGCAAATGCTGGTTAGTTCCATCAAAAAGTCCTCCACTAAGTGAAATTTGTCCTAATGCTTGATCTATGAGTGTCCTTGTCTTCTGGATTGGGTTCAAAATTACAAGGCTACTGAGTTGAACATTAGTAGTCGTGAAACCAAAAATTAGGTCCGCTGTTCAACGACGGTTATAAAATAAAAAATATAAAATCATCTTCTTAAGGTGGACAGACAATTTTGCTAGTAATTATTTAAACTTTCTTGATAAACTTAGATTAACCTGTTCATTCATAAATTTTCACAAATTCTCGCCATTCTAGTGATAAATTACTTAAATGTGAAACAGATTCGTAAATAACAATACATTATCACATGGCATGAAAATAACTTAGGGGTGTAACATAACATAACTTTACTCTACAAGGAAAGAATCTTTTGATTTTCAGACCTATTATAACAACAAAAAATTGGATGAAATTTACTATATGTTTTTTTTAAATGGTATAATATAGGTATTGGTTAAATTATTATATTCAGGGTGTTCCGTAATTACTACCCTTAATACACAGGAGAGCTATTTTTAGAATCCTTATCAAAACTGGAAAAAAGAAAGTATGTACATGAAAGGTGTTAAATTTAAACACGCTATCAAAATCTGTCGAATCACTTGGGAAGAAAGAGGGATGAAAAACATCAAAAGTAGTTTCATTATATAATAAAACTGTGAGATATATCGAATAATAGTCTTTCCTCTCTGTTTCATCTGGCTAACAAACAAGTTTCATAGTTCCCGCCTTTCTGATAAGGTGTAAAAATATTTCAATAGGATTCTAAAAACATGTAATAAGGATGGTTATTACGGAACACCCTTTATATTATGTACCGTTATGAATGCCTTTTTGAACAAACAAAGAACGGATGTTTCAATTTCTTAAGAAATTTATTTTTCTTTCTAATAGCTGTTTCAAATGTTCACTTATTTAAAAATAATATATTAAAACAGCTTAAAATTTGTTTTCTAAAAGGTTTTTTCTATTTGGGTTATAGAAATAGGTCTTAACGTGGAACAGTTACTTCGCTCCATAAGTTATTCAACTGTTTTTTATTTTGAGTAACAAAAAATGAAAGCTTCTTTAAATAAAATAAAAAAATTTATTTTGCAGCCTTTAATGTTCAGTAATGTGCAAATGCGAGCAATGGGTAATAGAAGAAAATTATCTTTCAAAAATGTCTCGAATGTTGTGGTGCAATTACTTCATTCCATCAAATACAGCATGGATGTTCCTTTTTCGAATATGGCAGTTCCATCTGGACCCCCTACTGAGAAACAAGGAACGAAAATTGTAAGCTTTTTTACCACTAACTTTATAAATTTACTTTTTTTAGGCTTAAATAGTTACTTTATTACTTTGTTTTTCAGTCTTCACTGGCGGACAAATTAAGGAAGCCTTTTAAAAAAAGGTAATTTTTTTTACTATTCTAAATCATTTTTAGACACTAGTCATAGACAGCACCGTTATTAGGGGACCGTAAAAATATTGCGTAAACATATCACTTTTTAAATCCTCCCTTTGTCAGACAAAATAGGCAATTCTCTCCTGTGCTTACGTAAGAAAGACGCAACATCCCTTCTTGATTTTTGCTTGAGCTTTCTTAATCTAATTTTAGGATCAATTTCAAATGAGTGATGTAACTACGAAATTTACATTTCAATTACGAGGCGCATCCAGTAAGTAAGTTTCCGGAATTTAAAAAAAAAAAGAACTCACACTTTCAGGAGCTTATTTATTGGCAACAAGTACAGCAATGTTTCAGCTATTTTTCAACATAGTCACCACCAGAATGGAGACAGTTGTCGTATTGTGGGATCAACTTTTGTATCCCTCTGTCATAGAACTCTGCCGCCTGTGAATGGAACCAGCGTGTTACAGACGTCTACCGTTACTGTGAAACACTGCGAAAGTTGCGACGTGCCATTCAAAACAAGAGACGTGAAATTCTCACTGTAGGTGTTGTGCTCCTCCATGACAATGCTCGTCCACATACGGCATGACATACAGCAGCTGTTTTGACGTAATTTGGCTGGGAGTTGTCTGACCATCCACCTTACAGCCCTGATCTTACTTCCTGTGATTTTCCCGCCTTCTTGCACCTCCAGAAATTCCTGTTCTCCTGTGAGCGTTTTGAAAACGACGAAGAGCTGAAGACGCTTTTTCCATTCACAGGTGGCAGAGTTCTACGACAGAGGATACAAAAGTTGATCCCACAATACAACAACTGCCTCAATTCTGGTGGTGACTATGTTGAAAAATAGCTGAAACATAGCTGTACTTATTGCCAATAAATAAGCTCCCGAAAGTGTGAGTTCTTTTTTTAAAAAAAAATCGGGAAACTTACTTTCTGTATGCGCCTCGTAACTTTATAAAATTTAGAGGAGAATATTATTTAGTAATCTCTTGTATTTTCCTTCTCTGAACAAATGTTTTTTCTTCTTCAAGAAATTATATTTCATTCCTCAAATTTAACTTTCATTTCAAATTTGAAATTTTTCCTAGTAAATTTTTTATCCATTTTTTTTGTTGTTATTTATATATACAGTCCCTGGCCAAATTGTCAGACTCTCTATAAGATTCTATGTAAAATCTTAATTATCAGGTGATACTATACAACTTTATTGTTTTTACTCTGCTGAAACCGGTTTACACTTGTTTACGTTCGTGTATCAATTGTTTAACATTGTAATGCAATACGTTAAAAATAAATACCAATAGGAAGTATATAAAAAATCTCCTGAATAAAAACCCATTACATGTATGTTTAAATAGAAAAGTATAGCATACAAACTTGTGCAAAACATGTAATTATTAAAAAACCACAGTGCGTCTAATAATTTGGTCTAATTATTATAATATACTAATATAATACCTGATATAACAAATATTCTAATTTATACAATATATCGTCAAATTTATCCAATCGTCGAATTTATATTATATATCGTCGAATTTTACCAATTAATGTGCGAACGTAAACAAGTACAAACCGGTTTCAGTTGCGTAAAAACAATAAAACTGCATAGTATCACCTAGTTAAGATATTACATAGAATCTTATAGTGCGTCTAATAAATTCTCCAGGGACTGTATATATATTTGAAAACAAAGATAATAATAAAATTTGAGAATAAGGTGATTTTAGTGTCTTTCGTAAGCACGCCCCTTGTCTGAAAAGATAAGCAAATCAGAAACACCCTCTCCCCAGTAGGTGCTTACGTAATATTTGTACAGTCCTTAGAGGTAAAACTATAGTAACGTAAGCAACACTACTGGGTGTTTTATAAAGAATGTCCTCAGTCTATTTCGTTAAATTCCCAGTTAAAAATGGAAAAATATGGAAGTTAGGGTCTAAAATTATTATTTAGGAAAAAACAAAAGCACTCATAAAATCTGAAAAATCGCAATGAAAGGCGGCGAGGTCGCAGAATTTGAAAAATCTGTTAGGTTGCTACTTAAGTAGTTGTTAGCCACTTCAGGACGACTGGCAGATGGAGATAGAAGCACTTCCCCAGGCTCGTTAACTCCGAGTTTATACATAATAAAGAATAGGTACTAACACGAGACGTAAGACAAGAATCCGTGTTGTCTTGGGCCGTCAAAAACGCTCGTTTTGTACTTGATATTGTGAGTCGTGAAGGAAGAATCACGTGACAATGGTCCTGAAGCCTCTCTATTTTATAAGGCAATCAATGTACATCAACCTTCCTTCATTGTGATTTATCATATTTCGATCAAGCTTTTGTTTTCCCTTATTAATTTGCCTCCCCTGATGTGAACACTTCTTTGTCTTAATTTTGACACGGCAGAAGGTGGTCTTTACATATATAATTGGTAAGTATATGTTACATTCTGTACTTTCTAAGAAAGAGCCCATTTTTATTCAAATTCAAGAATGGGTAATTATTCTGATGTGTTTTCTTCTTACCCAAACATAAGTAAATCTTATATAATTGTTTCTCTGAATTTCATTAAAAGATAGTGAGCATCAGTAAATTATACCTAAACAATGATTAAACTTTATTAAACTAATTCCTAAAAATAGAAATTATTGAAGCATAATAAAGTTTTTGTAAAAGCATAATAATTACACAGTTTCTAGCTTAAACGTTTTTCAAGAAAAATAATTTCCAGTGGTTGAGATTCGACGAAAAAATGTTCAAGGGAACAAACGATATATTTATTTTTGCAAATCTTGTGTCTCTACGTTTCATATACAATATACCTAACGTTCCGAGTTTTAATAAAATTAAAAAATGATTGATGGAAGAAAAAAATTTCGTAATTATTGTTCTTCTTTAATTTCTAATGGTTATTTTAAACCCAATAAAACATTACTTTTCCATTTAGCTCTTCAAAAGTTTCAGAATTTTTAGGATTTACATAATTTTATTAACAAACTCAATTAGTAAAATTATTTTTACAAATCTTCAAAGAGTGAAATTTAAGGGTCAGACACTTGTATACTATTTTCAGCTATCAGTAAACTCTGTTATATGCTTCCCTAAAATTTACTCTAATAGTAATTGTAATTATTTTGGGGAGAAATCATTTATTAATTTATTCTGATAGTTGTGGTAATTAGTTCAGTGATGAAATCCGTTACTTATATTTCTGATTGATTTCATCTGTGAAGATTATTCACGTTATTCAATATACTCTCTAATTTGAACTTTAATAATTTCATTGTTGTTCTATTAAAACCTTGATAATTATATTATTTTTCCATTCGAACTTTAATAATTTCATTGTTTCTCCATTCGAACTTTAATAATGAATTTTTTTCAGTTCGAAATTTAATAATTTGATTGTTATCCCTGAATCCTTACCCAAATTGTTAACTGAATAAATTTGGGCTTAAAGTTTCTTTCTTCCTTGTCTAACAAACTAACTTTCATCAACCTCATGGATTATATTACTGTTATTATTAGTAGAAATATTATCAAATTCTTGTCAGTATGGTTTTGCGTATAATGGACAAACTAAATGTATCCTTTAACTTCGACTTAAAGATACCGTCGGTGAGCTATTTACTCTGGACACAGATTAAAAAACGTGTTTAAGAGAATGGACATAACTCAAAACGCGTGTTTACGAAAATGGACATAGCTCAAATTGTGTGTTTAAGAAAATGGACACAGCTCAAATTGGATGCTTAAAAAATGAACATAGCTCAAAATGCGTGTTTAAGAAAATGAATACACCTGCTCAAATTGCGTGTTTTAAAAAAATGGACACAGCTCAAAATGTGTGTTTATGGAAATGAACACTACTGAAATGACGTGTTTACGAAAATGGACACAGCTCAAAAAGGGTGTTTAGGAAAATGGACACAGAAAAATGCGCCATTTCAACGTTTAACTCAAGCTTAACAACTAAATAAGAAAATTCGTGCTTACTTTTTCTTAATTATCTAAACACTAAGCATAATCATTAAGTCGCAAAGTACTGAAATTTGGGGTCTGGGTGGTTGGATGTAGTACAAATGTATCTTTTCAGACGATCTCTTCGTGTTTAGAACATTAAACGATAAAGTGGTTTTTAAAAATCTAACTTCGTGCAACGTTAATTTAATATCTCTATTTTAAATTTAAAGAACTCGTGACTACCTTTTAAAAACAACTTTAGACTCTTAAAATCTTTTTTAAAAAAAAGAAAGAAAAGGAAAAAAAACTTCTATAAAAACTGATTTTAGGCAAATGGACTAAATCACATTACGAATTTATTTGGAGCCATTAGTCTATTGTTTAAAAAGAAAAGAACAATTTTCATAAAGTAATTTTAAAAACGAAATCATATGCTATGTCTATTTTCTTAAATAGCTCTGTTCATTTTAAAACACACATTTTGATCTGTTCATATTTTTTTTAAGCACACAAAGCTGTGTTCATTTTCTTAAGCACGCATTTTGAGCTATGTCCAGAAATAAGAGTGCACCTAAGATATGCTTAAGATCAAGATATTAAACAATATTTAATCGCCAAACATAACTGAAATTCTAATTAAAGTTTACTTTTTGTCAACTGATTTAGAATTCTGGGAATTGTTTCATATTTTGAGAACTTGTAATAAAGTAATTAATGATCTTTCTAGAATCCTATTCTTTCCCGATGTTTGGAAATCAGTTTTAATTTATTTTCTACATGTTACACACCCACATGCTTAACTCTTTCTTATCCTATCCTTTGTTTGATTATCTTGTTTGGTTATTTATCTACCTTGTTCCTCATCCCTTAATAGTTAAATTACTTTTTTCTTTGTTGAAACTTGTTTCGCTCCTATTTTTTTTCTGTCATTCTGTGTTCTGATATGTTTGATCATTTGACATGATGATTTTAACATGACATGATGAGAAAGGTTTTTTTTCATAGGTAACAATACATTTTGTAAATCACTGATAAAAGGAAGATTATTGTAAGATGCAGTACTTTTACTGAGAGGATTTATGCCCTTATAATCAAATTTTTATGTACTATGAAAATATTAAAAAGTGGAAGAAAAAATTTATGTTTGCAATAACTTTCTGGAAAAGTAAATTTACCAAACACTTATAGTTAAAAAATATATAACTTATGGCTTATATTCTTTTGATAATACTTTTTAAAATTAAAATTGTAAATTAAACAATAATCTATACATTGCACTTAATTGCAATTTTTTTTTCTGGAGTTGTTACTATTTCTCAATTTTTCACTCTTAAGATAGAGTGTTCTGTAATGGCCATCCTTCATGTTTATTTTTTGAATTCTGGAAAAAAATGCAATCAAAGAATTCATCACAAATTTATACAAAAGCACTGTCTAAATCTAACATTTTAAGTGAGAAGGGTGGGGCTGAAAGTCCTGAAACCTTTTTCATTGCCGAAGAAAACAAAGGAAATAAAAGATGATGATTAGAAAAACCTCCCAGTTTTGACCTATCATTCTGATTTCCTCTCTAATGACTCAACAGATATTGAAAGCCCTTTTGTTTCTTCCTTGCTTAAATGTCGCTATGTGACTCCTAACATATATACTGCATTTTAACGAGGGTTCTAAAAAATATACATTAAGGGGGGTAAATACAGAACACTCTGCACAAAAACTGATTAAAATTAAAGATAAATTTGTCTTTTTAGACATTCCACGGTGTATCATCAACCAACAAGTCGAGTTAATAAATACTTAGCTCAAGCAATTGAGGCGAGAAGTGTTGATCAAGAGAAATCTACTCATGTGAATATTGTAACTCTATTTTTCAAAGACAGGTTAAAGGAAACACAGGTAAATACTACTCTTTCAATAGTTTCAGTATGATTCTGTAAGGCAACGGCTCCCAAAACATGTTCCGTGGAACCCTAGAGTTCTGTGGGAAGGTCACAGGGGTTCAGAGAGTTAAAACCCTTTCGATAAAACTTATTGGGATTTTTGAAACTTGTAGCTATGCTTGTATCCATAATTTATTTAATATCTTTTGTGATATTATTTAAGTAGAATTCCAATCATAAAACAAAACAAAATTTATAATTTTTTTTACAGTAACAATGCATTGATAAATTACAAAAACGACATGAATTTAAAAATAATTGCAACAGTATTTCTAATCGAACTTTTTAACTCAAAATCAAATAACTTGATAGTCTTTAATAACCAGTTTATAGCACAGCTTATAACAATTCTTTTTCGAAAACTATAATTCAGTTTGTTTTGTTTTATTTCATCTTATGCATTTGTCAAAAAAAAAGAAAAGAAATTAGAACCAAGGCTAGAAAATGTTCCAAACCTGTAAATTTTTAATTGCTTTGCATAAAAACCAGTTTTAAGACTGTTGATAAAACAACGAATGAATTTCGTTCTTGACATGGAATATTTCCAAATTAATTTGGAATCTTTTAGGTTGTATTCACAACTGCTAAGGAGCTTCATTAAAAAAGTCGGTGTTCCTCCAAAATAAGCTCGATCATTTAGGGTTCTATTGTCGAAAAATTTGGGAACCGTTGCTTTAGGGGTTGCCCCTTTCCCTCATATTTTGAGGGTGTCAGCAATCCAAATATCTAAAAAAGAATCTATGTTTATTCAGAGTACTTTGAGTCAAGTACTTTTTGTGTCTGTTTTCGTAACTTAATAGTTATTATCACTATTTGAGGTCACCCCCTTATCACTATTTGAGGTCACCATCTTTTAAGATCGACATTCAGTTCGTGAAAATCCGATCATTAGAATAAAAGTCATTGATATGCGCACTGTGCGTTAAAATTGGACAAGCCACGATCCAAGACAAAGAAACATTATGATCTCCAACAAATCCATTGCTGCTGTTGATAAAATGATTGGTTTGGTGGAACAATTACGACAGCAATTTGGCTGTATCAAAACTACTTTGCTTTGTTTCGTTTTGACGTTTTTAGCGGGACTTTACATTTGAAGAACAGTGACATTTTAGTAAAAGTTTAAACGTTTTCATTACTTCACTCAATCTTTATGTTTTTTAGTATATTTCTAAAGGCATAATTTTTGTGGGTATATTTATTTGACCCTGACTCTAAGTAAGGAAGATTTTTAACGATTTTTGTTTGTAGTATCTGCTTATTTTCAAGGATGATTTTTATTGTTTTTTATAAAATATAATTTTGTTTGAAGAGCTGAAATAATTATACAGGTATATAGGCTTATTATTCCCGAAATTAAACTTTAGCAGCATCAATTTAAAACGAACTGGCATCAAGTTTTATCTAGCCTTATTAGTCTGAAAACCGCTCCATAAATGATTTAGAGGAAACGTGAGCGATTCAGAGGAATTTTCCCGGTATTCATCGCTTAAATTGGCAATAATTCTGTAATTATTGATGTCAAAATGTTATATCATTTCGTTACATATAAAACACTTGTCTAAGACTGAATTAAAATATTTTATTAGTTTTTAGACAAAAATAACTACAGCTGTTGAAGAACATTAATTGTTTTAAATTTTTTCATTAAAAATTAGCAGTTTCATACAAAAAAGATATTTTTTTTAATTTATAGAAATGTTTATAAAACTATTTTGGGTATTTTTTATATCATGGTAAACTACGCGGATCATGATTGGTTATTTGAATCTCATTTTTCCTCATAATTTAGGTCACTATTTCACAAATTTCCAGCGTTGAACAACCACTCAGTGAATATGCGGATTTTATCATTTTCAACTTCTTAGCTTTGAATCTAGGAGACAAGGGAACACCTGTTTAAAAAGCCAAACGAGAAGAATTCAAGCGAAACTAATAAACATTTCTCAAAATCGAGGTGAAAATCACGAAAACCTCTTATGGTTTGCTAATCGAGCTCTGATCTGTCTTAACCAGAGCAAAATTTGCATCAACAATGCAATCTCTGAGTTCAGGGAGCATAATTAATTTTAATTTCTTCTTCCACTCAGTTCTTTCCCTGAAAAATCTCCATTTTTTTTAAATTTCACTTGCCTGCTTCTTTCACTCAGTTTTTAATTTATTTAAATTCTGCAATATGAACTGGTAAATTGATTATTCACTCTCCTCTGACGGTATATATAACCGTTTTAGCGCTATTATCGTTATTGTATATCCTACGCCAGGGGTGGCGAACCTTTATGCACCAACGTGCCATTTTCTCTAAAAAATTGCTTAATGAGGCCATAGACGTGCCGTCAAATAATTTTTACTTCGTGATTATTGGGAAAATAATAATACTAAATACTATCAACTCAAAACTCTTTATTTACATTGAAAAAAATATACATTTTGCAATGTCTCAGTTATACACGCAATTCAACTTAAGGTAACATCAGTATGATTTCTGTTGTTGCAGATTAAATGACCAATAAGTTATTTTAAGTTGTAAGATGTTAGTTTAAGCAGGACTGTTGATTTTTCTGCTAGTTATTTATTGTTAGCTTGTTTTTTACGGTTATGAATTGTTTTTTTAGTATTAATTTTTAATTTTTTCATTAATAATTGTTTATTCTTTTGTTTGTTTTTTGGGAATTTTAATTTAATTTTTACATATGCTTCATAGCGTAATAAAATTTGTGTAATAACAATTCATAGTGTAACAACAATTGTGATCGGTGGAGTGCCCAAAATATTGCGTCGCGTGCCATTGGTTCGCCATCCTTGTCCTACGCTATTAACCTTGTCCTCATTTCGTTTAAGCAACCCTAACATCTAAATAATATTGATCTAGATAAATAAACTTGAGCATATTTTTTACCCCTTGCAGCATAAAAGTAGCAAAATTCCGCGGTGAGGCAATTTTTCCTTCAATTTAACTGTAAAGTCCACTATTTTCCCATTCATGGCTTATTTTGACTTTTCTGTGATTCTGACTTTTTTGTGTGATTCAGATCTGAATTCAGTTGTCCACATTTCTGTGAAATATGCAAACATGTTTTGCAACATTTTGCGCGTAAACCGTGGGCTGTTTATAACTAAAATAAACAAAAAATTGCGAATTCTTTTAAAGTAATATTATAATGTATGATTTTTCCACTTATATATGAGGTTTATAAAGCCCGATTTACATGTGGCAGCAGTCAGTGAGCTGGTGGGGGACCAATTTGATCAGACTGCGAAAGTACCGAGGTTATGCAGTATCGGTCTACGTTAAACTATTTTACCGTAAAGAGGTCGACTTCACGCTCAAGTCATTGGGCTACCAAAGCGGAGAAGCCATCCTCTTTGTAATTCAATTTGTCAGGATCAAAATTGTGATAGTATGTCTTCGCATCATCCTCTAGGACATGGGTGGCGAACCTTTATACACCAACGTGCCATTTTTTCTAAATAATTGCTTAATGAGGTCATAGACGTGCCGTCAAATAATTCTGACTTCGTGATTATTTGGGAAAATAATAATACTAAATACTATCAACTCAAAACTCTTTATTTACATTGAAAAGAGAAAGAAAAAAAAACATTTTGCAATGTCTCAGTTATACACGTAATTCAACTTAAAGTAATATCAGTGTGACTTCTGTTGTTGCAGATTAGATGACCAATAACTTATATTAGGTTGTAAGATGTTAGTTTAAGCAGGACTGCTGATTTTTTTTTTGCTAGTTATTTACTGTTAGCTTGTTTTTTACGGTTATTAATTGTTTTTTTAGTATTAATTTTTAATTTTTTTATTAATAATTGTTTATTATTTTGTTTGCTTTTTGGAATTTTAATTTAATTGTTACATATGCTTCATAGTGTCATAGCATTTGTGCAATAACAATTCATAGTGTAACAACGATTGTGATCAGTGGAGTGCCCAAAATATTGTGTCGCGTGCCATTGGTTCACCATCCCTGCTCTAGGATGTGCGACGTGCAATATAAATGGTTCATAGTGCGACGTAAATAAAGCACTATTATATTTTGTCTAAAATAGGAACTCCCCTAGCCATTCGTCTGGACCCATGACGGTGACTATGATAACGAGGTATAACTTTTTCAAGTACGGGTGTGGGGTCATTGTTTAGGACAAGTTTTGGCTCCAGTCGGCGAAAGAAAAGAAAACATAAGAAAGAATTATTTGTTTTGCTATTGATTTTTTTAAATTTGTTTTAGGCTCACAACTTGTTAAAATTTGTAAATTACAGAAAACTCTTATGAATGGTAAAATGATGTGTAAATTTAATCACAAATTACAATAATAAAACATCCTAGAATATTAAGCCTGTTCACACATCGCCCCTCGTAAGCATAGCATAAGCGGAGGGATACACCGGAAGTTTTCTAAATTTTTTTTCCGGTTTTAGGAAGCATGTTATTGTTTACGTTCAGTCAAACACGTGGAAATCCGATGAGAACCACCTGAAACATGATCGATAAGTCATTTAGATTAACTATAACCTGAACACAAATAAAGAGTTTTAAAAGTGATTACTGAAATTCGTAATTCACGTACTAAAATTTTGTCGAAATAAAAATATTATGATTTTTAAAACTTTGGAAAATCGTCGCTATAACCATCGAAAAAAGCGATCGAAAAACTAAAATGATGTAGATTTGGCTCCTTAAAATATACGGTCGTCGGGCTACCAAAGCAGGGGAGCCATCCCCTCTGCAGAGGATAAAAATTGCGATGGCCATGTCTTCGGATCATCATCAGGGATGTTTCCCAGACCGTCGCCAATAGCTCATTGTGCAGCTCTAATGCGACGTAAATAAAGTACCTACCAATTTTTATCATGAAACTATTAAACTAAATTTACCAAATGTAGTAAAAATGAAATTTTGTATTTAAATATGTTTGATTATTTTTAATAATTATCTAGTTTTTTATTCATTTTTTATTAGAAAGGGTAATTTTCAGTATCTTTTTAATTAAATTTACTATTTCCGTTTAATGTTCTTATCCTAAAAATTTTTAGTATTTAAAGATGCTGCTGGATAGCGGTACAGAAAAAAAAAGAACTTTGTGTCAACATATTACAGGTTTAAAAGTAATTTTTAAAAAAATTAAAATATGCTGGAATTATTAGCAATATTAATTCTATAATTATTAACACAATTTATTTTTAAAAAGAAAATACAATCAAGTAAAATAAAATGTTTTATGAATAAATTATTTAGATATGTGTTTTTAAATTTGGACTAATCTATTTATTTAAATTTTGAGTTTCTTTTTTCTTTTAATATAACTTTAGACATAATTATTATTTTTAGTTAAGATTACAAGATTTTTTATCATTCTAAATAGAAGTAATGCAATTGATATAATTAAATGTTTAATAATATCTCTAGTGTGTGTGTAAATTGTGGTCATGTATTGTTTTTCAAAAATTACTATTTTGAGAAATAATTTTTTCATGCATTTTTTTCTTTGAAATGATAATTATGTTTCAGTGCCAATGCAAAAACTTTTTTCCGATGTTTATTGTTTTGTTATAATAATGACTTGGAAATTTTAAAATTAAAAAAAAATCTTATGACTAGTCAATAAAAAATTTTTTGAAACAAATTTAGCAATAAAAACGCGAGACACGTTTCTCTGATCCAATTTAACACTTAACATGATTTTTTTTTTTTTAAATTTCAATGTTACTAGATGTTTTTTTTTGGTTTCCATTTCAAAACAAAAACTATAAAAAATGGACTTCAACTAGTAATTAAAGTTTATATGAAAGCTGAAGAATTCTTTTATACTGTTGGACCTGGTTTATATAAGATAATTAGGCCTGTCATAACTCAAATTATGGATGTATTATTGTTGTTTAAACTATTTTCATCAATTTCACTCTGAATTGAGATTTTTTTTAGTAGTGTTGAAATTTAATTTGGCTATTATTGAAATTTCATGTGGCAATAAAAGATAAAATGAAAATTAAATAAAAGGAAAATTAAATAAAAGGAAAAGATGATTATACATAAATTTATTCTTGTATAAAATTATAGCAAAAAAAAAAAAGAAATTGAAGAATAATATGTGTCAAAAAAGAAAAAAAAAGGAGGGGTGGAATTAAAATTTCACGATTGACTTTAATCATCAGAGATATTTGGAAGAAAAAGACTTGGAAAATCAAGATTCTGCTGTATATTATATTTTCAGCATTATTTATTAATAAATAAAGCAAATCTTCTTTGCAATAATTACCTTGATGCAAAGAAAATCTGAAATTTTATTTTAAAAACCAGATGTATTTAGCAAACAAGTTGTTTTCCTAACTGCAATATGATTAAACAGTCTTACGATTTTTCAGTTGAAACTTCTAGTAACAAAGTTTTCTGATTTGTTTTCAGTATTATAGTGAAAAAGATGATGGGTTTGCTAACAGCATGGTTTGTTGCTTGACTGTTCTTTTATTAATGGGATGTTTAGAAGTTCTTATGCTAACAAGGTAATATTTTTCGCATTACATTTAATAATTAGAAACTGAAATAATTCTACTATTATCACAATCCTTATTGAATATTTACACCTTTGAATTAGGTAGCTGAAATTTTTACAATCAATCATGTCTATTTTTTCTCTGTGATGATTAATAAATTCAAAAAGAGTGTTGGACTTCCCAAGAAACATTTTCACACATATCTCAAAAACATTATTATTTCTATTTTTTTTACTTTTTGTTTAAAAAATATTTGTGTTTTTATATATATATATATATATGTATAAATTTGTGAACAGAAATTTAAAAACTTTTGAAAATTCTGATCATGTGATTCTATGAAAGTATAATTATCTTTTAATGCTTTCTTAGGTTAGTTCCTTTTCTACTTCAGAATATCATCAAATAAACTGTTAAAATTTGTATTCATTTTAAGTATTTTATGGAAGAAATATTGAAAAATTGACACCTTTTCCATTTCGAACTGGCTTTTCCTTCATTTTGTAATTTTGTGACTCTTTTTTTTTTTTTTCCTATTTAGGTGAAAGTTCTTCAAATTTAGCTTTATGTGCCAGTGATATTTGGTTCATTCTAACTAAAATGGACCATTGCTGTTGCGTTATTGATTTTTATGGAAATTTTTTGTAGAACTTTATTTCACTATTAAAAAAAATCTTGAATTATTTTAGATAAAAACCACTTTATATTTTTGTAATAACCAAAATCAAAAAACACCTTTTTGATTTTTTATGATTTGATTTTTTTTTTCTTTTTGAAAAGTTTAACATTATGGGGAAAAAATTGTTCTTATCTCATTAAAAAAATCTCGCAATATTTTTTTTTATTATTTTTTAAGGACCATAAACAAAAAACACCCTTTTGATTTTTTTATGTTTAAAAGTATTATCTTAAACATAATGAGAAAAAAATTGAGTTGGTTAAAGTTGGGGCTTCCCTGAAAAAAATTCTTGAAATTTGCAAAAGAATTACAACTATTATTTTAATAAAATTTTTCAAATGTTTATATACATATACACATCCAGCATTTTAATACTAGTTTGATGATATAGTCATAAATAAAAGTTATAAACATTACGAGCATATGAGCCATCTTCTTTAAAAACGTCATCTTATTAAAGTAGCCAAATTTTAAAATGGCCTTCTAATCAGTTTTAGTTATAAAAAAATTTTAAAAAACGATAAAAAAGTTATTTTATTCGTCTTTCTTCAAGTAGTTTTTCGCAAAAATCTTCGACATGGTGGCAAGAAGATGAAATGGTTTTTTATTGGTCCTTTTCAAATGGAATGAACCATTTGTGAAAATCTTATATCTTATCATGTTATCTTATTATTTTAAGTTTTGTGTTATAATTTGTATTGCACAAGGAGTTTTTTTAAAAAGAAAACACTTATGAAACAATATAGAATTTTTTCTATAATATCATTTTCATTTTTTTTTATACTAGATATGTCAAAAATGACCAATGAAATAAGAAATCAATAATAGAAAAATGGAAAGTGATAAAAATGTATTGTTTACTGCATTCTGAATAAAGAATTTTTTTTTTCTATTCGTGTCTTAAATTTTGTTATGAAGTTTGCCAATAGATGGCACTGAGAAAAATGTAAAAACATTGTTTTAAAAGTATCCACCAAAACAATGTGACTCAATCTGGGAGCAAAATTTAAAAAAATGCTTTTCTAATTGTTTCACTTTTATATGCAGCGTAGAATAGCTCTACAGTTTTCTAGTCAATGGTGCCAATCTCATTGACAAATTTTGAAACTTGTTGAAAATGAATATTTGGCTTCATAAACTGAAAGTATCAAACCATACATTACTATCTTCTTTTGTGTTAAATTATTTTTTTTAAATTGTAAGTTATAGAACACTCAGTACGCAAACAGTATAAAGTATTATAAATTATGTTTGTAAATCTTAGCAATTTTATGTAAACAAAAAGTTTGTTCTAATTTGGAAAATAATATCTTCTGAACTACCTATTAAAAGTTTCCTTCATAATTATTATCTATTTGAATCTACACAGTTGAAAAAGAATCATTAAAATAATCATGATATCAAAAATTACATTTTTTAAGTTCATATTTAAAAACTTTTAAGTGTTTGTGGTGATGTTTTTAAAAATAAGATCTTAAAGATAAAAACTAATAAAAATTGTCATACACCATCATTTTTGCAAATGTTTGAAGTCTTCAAAAATTACAGTGTCAAATTTACAAAATTTTGAAAAGCAGAGAGTTATAGCATTTCCACACAGCACCCTGTATGTTCTTGTATGTATGTTAATTACCAATCTTTGTAGAAAACCATGATTGTTCAACTACTTGAAAATTTAAAACCTCTCTAATTATCTCAAAAATATGTAATAATTAGTTTTGGTAGAAAAATTCTAAAAGAAAAAAATTTTCATAAAATTGTTACAAAGCAAACACCAATTACTACAATTCTCCTTATATTTTTATTGGTATTTTTTTTCTTTCTATTTTAGATCATTTCTAATGGTGATAGCTTTCATCTTTGCTTGTTGTTGGATTGTTCTCTTGATAGCTTTGTCCTTGGGAGCGAAAATGAAGGTAAATATATCCTTTTATATTCCCCTTCACATTCCAGATCGAAACAGAGTTTTTAAAAGAAAAAAATTTTCTTAAAAACCAGGGCTCGAAAAACCGCCCGTCCGCATGTCCTCAGCGGTCAAAAATTCCCAGCGGACAACCAATTTCTCGAATCCGACGTCGGCACGGACGGCCATTTTTCCGTTAATGTTCATGATACATTTTCAATTTTTGTTATCTTACAATCTTTCTTGAAGGAGTAGATAAAGAAAATTTTTCTCAAGAATGGGTGTCATTAAAATTTAAGATACATAACATCGTTAAGAAATGTTCATGATACATTTTCAATTTTTGTTATCTTACAATCTTTCTTGAAGGAGTAGATAAAGAAAATTTTTCTCAAGAATGGGTGTCATTAAAATTTAAGATACATAACATCGTTAAGAAATGTTCATGATACATTTTCAATTTTTGTTATCTTACAATCTTTCTTGAAGGAGTAGATAAAGAAAATTTTTCTCAAGAATGGGTGTCATTAAAATTTAAGATACATAACATCGTTAAGAAATGTTCATGATACATTTTCAATTTTTGTTATCTTACAATCTTTCTTGAAGGAGTAGATAAAGAAAATTTTTCTCAAGAATGGGTGTCATTAAAATTTAAGATACATAACATCGTTAAGAAATGTTCATGATACATTTTCAATTTTTGTTATCTTACAATCTTTCTTGAAGGAGTAGATAAAGAAAATTTTTCTCAAGAATGGGTGTCATTAAAATTTAAGATACATAACATCGTTAAGAAATGTTCATGATACATTTTCAATTTTTGTTATCTTACAATCTTTCTTGAAGGAGTAGATAAAGAAAATTTTTCNATTGACATTCCAGATAACTTGACCTTTGTCATTTAAATTATTTCATAAAAGAAATGCAATATTTCATAACAGAAATACTAGGCTACTATTAGTAACCTAGTAATTATTTTAATACTGTATAATGTAATCCTAGTATTTGTAATCCTAGTAACTACTAAATCATTGTGCAATTTATATAAATGTTTATAATAAATAAGAGAAAATTATATTTTTATTTATTTAGAAGCTACGGGTTAGTTTCAAAGGAGGATGGGTACATAGTTGGACGAGCCGTCCTTGGGGGCGGGTAAAATTTCTGAGTTTTTTCGAGCCCTGTTAAAAACTGTCTTTGTTGAAGTCTACTCCAATCCCATGTGTGCAGTTCATCTCAATGTTTTTATAAGTAGATACTCATATATCACTTCAAAATTGTCAAATCATTTTTTAGTAGTTAATCCTTAACTTACATGGAATTGGCACTAAGTTTAATTGTTGATATTAAACAATAACATTTTTATGGATTTCTAGTTGCTAAAAATGTTATAGGTATTTTAAGACACTTCAGTGCTATTCGCAGAAAGATTTTGTGCTAATACTAGATTAATAAAAGATTTCGATTTAACAAAAGAATAAAGATTGCAGCCATCTTCAGGGCTCAGTGTCTGAATGAAAAAAAGAAGTGCTTTATAACTATAAAATTAATGGTTAAAATGCTATGAGGGCCAGAATTATTCTTCATAGTTTATTTCTCTCCCTTTGTCTAATTTTTATTTGTTCTCTGTGCACATTGGATATGAGCAGTAATGATGTCTTCTTAGTAAAAATCTCTCTTTAATTTTGTCAGTATTTCTCTAGTTGTCATGGTTGTTTTCTGACAAAATTGGCGCTAATTCTTTAAGGAAATCAGTCATTCAAATATAGTCAATTTAAAAAAAGTGTTTGTTATTTGAGTTAATTTGCTATTGTTTTACTAGCTCTCGATAAGAATGTCTAGAGATATGAAAAAATATGCTTTAGGTAACCTAGATACATTGAAAACATTTAGATAATTTAAAAAATTTATAAATTTTATTTTTTTCTATTCTGTTAATTGTTGCTAAATTTCTAGACAAGTTTTTATAAATGCAATCATTATCATTAATTGCACTGCTTGTTTTGAAAAAATTTAATGTGAATTTAAAAACATGAAAAAAAAACTTTTTTAGCCAAAAGTACACTAAAAAATTGAACGATTTCAAAATAGTATGCAAAATGTCTATAAAACAAATCATTTTAACCATAATTTTTGAAGTAACTATCTTATGAAATGGTTTTGAATACTTTTAAATTGTGCCATCAGTCAGGTGACTGTAAGATTTTTATTTCTGCTATGCAGCATAGATGTTTTTTGGAATAGCGTGAAAATTAATTAAATATCCTTGAAATAATAGCACATTCAATTTCAGCACTTCAAATTCTATAAAATACAAAAATTTCTGTATCAAAATTTTTCATTACACTTGGAGCTGTTTTCTGTTTGGAGGCCAGTTTCTCAAATGCATGTTTGAGAGCAAAAGTGGCGTTCACATATCTCTGCTTCTGCCTCCCGAAGCAGAAAGCAAACTTTTCCTCGAGATATCAGCTGCGCTTTGCCGAACCACTTCACTCATGAGTATGTGTCTGTGAACAATCAATCAGACACCAACGTATTAAATAACTGTTCACCGCTTATAAACATGAAACTTTCTATTTCCATTTGAATTTGCTTTTGTTTTTATAGATATGAATTTTAAGTTTCAAATATTAAAAATTTAGGTTATGAACTAAATGAAAATTTGAAGTGACTGAATCATATGCATGGTGGAAGTTTACTGTATATGGTTTATAGAAAAGGATTTAAATTTAATTTATTACTAAAGATTTAGTAGATCAATGAACTAAAACTGACAAATGGAGCATTCGGTTTTCGAACTCAACAAACACGCAAAAATTAAAGGAAGAGTGATTTTAAAATTAAAGATAATTTTTTATTTGAAACAGAGCAACAAATGCCTATATTTAATTACTGCTAAGGCATTGTACCAAAGAAATTTTGGAAAATATCGAAAACTGATTGGGAATCTTTTTACATTTCAAATGTATTACAGTTTATAAAAATGATCACATTTTTCTAAAGGGATATCCTTCTATAAGGAAATAATTTATGAAAATGCATTATAACTCCAGATAATAGTAAATAAGTATATCTAAAAACTACAACAGAACATATGAACTATGATTTTTTTTCATTAAAAATTACCTCTGAAAGTTTTAGATTTTTTTAAACTCAATAGGAGGGTGTTATAATCCTCATATCTCCACAAGCTTTTTGTTACCTTGTACATCCGCAGATTACAGGTCAATCACAAGCTCATATGATTGACTAGGAGAAAAAATTCAAAAATTTTCCCTGAAATCAACTAAAAATAAAATATTTTAATTTCTTCCATGTATTCTGAATAACATTTATTTTGTTTTTAATTTCTCAAAATATTCTTATATTTTTGCAGTTCATTCTTTGGAATATTAACCAATCATTTTCCATGCGCATGGCATCGATTGTTCTTACTATTACGTTTATATACATTGTGGCTCAAATAAATGTGGTAAGTAAAAATAAAATAAGTTTTTTTTTGTTCAATTTTAAATGTGCCAAAAATTAATTTTTTCCATCTATTATATCAATAGTAAGAAGAGGGAATGAGTGTTAAAATCGCAAAGATGACTGATTGTTTGCTTCCAATGCAGAAGCAAATTTTAGACAGATCGCGACATTTCGGATTAAAGTCTCCATAATAAAGCATGATTGGGTTTTATAGTTTTTTATTCTCATTGAAGAATCTTTTCCTCACCTTGAAACGTGTTTTTTTTTCACTTTGAACTTCAGTTCTCATGGAGTCTCAACACAAAAGTTATTATTGTTTACTAAAGTGGATTTAAAATAAATTTTGTAATAATCCTTTAATATAATAAAGAAGCCTGAGAAATGGTTCTAAAGAAATGTTAACTACAGTAAATATAAGTATAATAACCAAGTTGCCAACTTTTCCGATTTCAGCTGAAAGATTTCCTTTCCATATTTAACGTGGTATCAAGATTTATGCTTCAATATTTTATTTTTTATTTAATAAATTTGATTTAAAATGTTCTTAATCATCTATATACCTAGTTAATTTGAACATATATAAACTATTTGATAATAATTTATGTAATTTTAGGAGCTGATTAATTTTAAGAAATTTCTGCTCACTGTTATTGCTTCAATTTTTATTTTATTACCATTAGAAAACATTTTTGTAACTAACCAGCCTTTAATCGACTGGGGTCTCAGTAGCGTTGCCCTGTTGGTTGCCGGAGGAACTTTTCTGAGTGTTGTTAGTTTGAGTTCCGGGGCTAAAGCATACATATGACATTTTTTCCCCTTTTCCCTGAGATTTAAATAAAAAAAATTTATTTCATTCCTTATATTAATTTCTTTTTTTTTTCCTATTATCTTTGTGTAGTGTTGTGTATTTTGTTTAATGAAATTCTTTTTATGAAAGTGTTAATTTATTATAAATTTATTAAGCTAACCACACACACATCGCTATACTTGTTAAAAAAAAAAAAAAGTACAAGTGTTGTCAGCTAAGAACTAAGTATAAATATTCTAATATAATGTCAACAAAGATGCGTGTTTTTAAAAGTCTAATCTATAATAAAACCAATTTCATTGACAGCTAAGAAAATATATTTGTCATGACCAAAATGAAATAATTTTTATGTATTAAAATCAATAGAACTTTTAAAAATTTCATTCATTTATTATTCCCAAAATGAGCAATGTGTTATTTAATTCAGCAAACCTGGCCGAATCTAAATTAATTGCAATCTAAGTTTATTGAAATATTTTTAGTTACATTTATTTGTCAGATTTGAAAAAGTAAAATTCTGTGGTCTTCGTAGAATAATGTATATATAGGAATGTAATTCATTTGCTATAATAAAAAATAAAATTGTTTTGTTGCTCATATTTTCAAAATATGTTTATTTTTTCCACCAATGTATTGCTGATTTAATGATTTTATACTTAGTTATTCTAGTCAATAAATAAATTAATTTACAGCTAAGATGAAGAAAATTTTTGACTAACCCACAACCCGAATACCAAATAATTTGATGATCAGCAAATCTCGTTTAATACCAGATAGAAATAGAATATTTTGGAAATCAAGCTCACTCCGTAAAATAATCCATTTTTAAAAAAAAAAATTATAGAAAATATTTGACAATGTTGCGTCGAAACACTGTTAAAGAATAAAGTACAACTTTTTTGCTTTACTTTTAGTTAGTTAGCAATCAGAAATAGAGTAATATAAAGTGTAATATAAATATAAAAGTATAATGGAGTGTAAAATTTTATGAAAGTGTAATGTTGACTAATTTCATCTGTGCTTTCTAAATAGAGGAGATAAAATGAAATTTCATAAAAATGCCAAATGGCCAGACACAACTTGCTGAACAGTAACTCTTTGTGACATCATAGTGACCTCCCATATCGGCACTCTAGGAGATTATTGATTAATGATGCCGTTTATCTGATATATGCTGTTTCTGTTGATATATATAGATTATTATTATAAATATATTTAATATTATTTTAATTTTGATTTATCATCAAAATGGTGACAATCGAATTAGGTAACATGATTAATGAAAAAAATCAAAGTTTAAAGATTCAAAACTAATTCCTATTTTCCAGTTTATGGATTTCTTATACTTAATTTATTTAGTTACTTTATTAAATTTGAAAAACATCAATTAACAGTCTATCTACATTATGGGTGCAAAAATGAAGCAAATGAGAAAACAAGGAAAATTATGGTCTTATGGAAGGCATATAACCATAAAATTAATAATATTTCTTTTCAGTTTTCCTGCATAAAAGAGCCAAAGTGCACTCCATCATCGAAATCCACTCAAACGTCCTTCCTTCATGATCACTATTATTGTCCACTGCCTCATTACATCATTCTTACTTGCATTCTTACTTTCTTATCAGTGGTTGTTTTTCTTAGAGTGCCCATTGTGATAAAAGGATTATTGCTTGTTCCTATGACACTGATTTTTATTGTTGCCATACAATTTGTAAAATTCCAAATATTCTATTGTTATGATGAAAGAGTAGGGTAAGTACTCATCTGTATCTTAAAAGATTGATTTCTTTCTTTACTTTAAAAAAATAAAAGTAAAATAGTTATGTACAAGGGAAAATATGGTCACCAAAGTTTGGTCAGGAGAGCGATCTAAAGTTTGGACCCCTTAATGCTAATTTTACTTTTTGCATATTTCGCCATATCTCGAGAACTTTTTAAGCGAATTGAAAAGTTTTTGCACACAATTTTAAAATTTGTTTGTCCAACGATAATTCCACACAAAAATTAACTTATGTATCAATGTAATAATATGTACCAATGTAAGAATTATGTAACAATGTATGTAAATATGTATCATTTATATTAATAATAGTCGGAAATATTTTGAATTAAAAGTCAACAAATTTTCAATTCAATTTTTTTTTCATCTTTTAAAGTAAATAATTTTACATGGCAAAATACAAAATTTGTGCGACATCGGTCTAATTTATGAGAAATCAAATTTATGAGAAATCTGACTTTTTAAAGTTCAATTTCTCAGGCACTATTCTACCGATTTTGCCTGAATTTTGTATTTTGCAGTGTAAAATTATATACTTTAAAATGATGCAAGAAATTGTATACCTTACAATTTAAAAAAATTTCGACCATTGTTAAATAAAATAATAAAAAATAATAAATGTTTAATAAAAGTTATTTTTTGAATGGAATTATCTGTGAATAAACGAATTTTATAATTGCGTGCAAAAATTTTTCAATTTGATTTAAAAGTTCTTGAGATATAGTCAAATACGCAAAAAGGTAAAATTAACATTAAGGGTCCAAACTTTGGATTGCTCTCCTCACCAAACTATTGGGACCATATTTCCCAGATTGCGGCTACCCCCCCTTTATTTTGGGGGTCAGAAATCCGAATCCGTCTTTAAAAAGGTATGTTTATTCAGGGAAAGTTCGTTTCTGTGTCTTATTTCATAACTTAAAATATCGTCTTCAGGGTAAATGATGAACTTTGTTAAATATTGTACATGTGTATTTTACACTCTAAACTATAAATGTTTAGGAAATATCTCCTATTTTTGGAAATTGTCACTGCAACCTTCCAAGATGGTGATAGCTGCTTTTTATATCTTTATGCTTCTTGAAAAAAGGTGCCAATATTTTCAAATTATTACTCATTTACTGTTGAGTTTAAGATTTAAAATATTGATAGTAAAATATGTATAATTTAAGTTTAATTAATTCCTTGTGTATGATTTTTTGAAATTGATATTGTTTCTGAAACAAGAAACTATCCAATGTACCTATGTTCCTAAGGTTTCAATTTCTTTTGTGCCTTTATAAGCCCTTTATACAAATAGCGACATTTATAAAATTTGATTACGAAAAATCACTAGTTTTTTTTATTATGAAACTAGGTTTTATTATACTCCTTTACAAAAGCATTGAACATTGAAGGTCCTTGAGAATCTTACTTTTTATAAATTGTGTTTAAAGAATAAACAACATTGCCTTATATATTTTTTAAAATAAATATATTCTATTATATAAAGTGTGCATTTTTTTTCTACAAATAGTCATTGATTATCATGCAAACACCAGTGATTTGAATAGTTTATCATCAAGAAAACTTAAAAAAGGCAACCGAAATCAATTTTTCTACATTCCAATGAAAATTTTAGATACTGGGACATCAAAAGATGTTTTGATAACTGTTTAGTTTGACAAAATAACTTCCACGATTTTGAAAATTATTTTATTATTTGAGGATTCCAACTGGATAGCATATCAAATTTTTTTTCAAATTATACATAGATAAAAAATGCTTTTATTTTGAGTTTTTAGGGTAATCAAAATGTGTTTAAATTTGTTAAAATTACTGTATAATATCTTAACAATGATTTATTTCATATATGGGAACTTTTTTAGTTCGTTTTTAAACATTATGATATGTTATAGGGGTCCAAAATATTTTTTTGCCCGGGGGCCCTGCATTGCTATTAAGACGGTCCTGATTTGTTTAGAAAAATATTAAATTAATTTTCATTCCCAACTGTTGTTTTTTGTTTTCACATACTTAATGATTTACTAAATAGCATTGAAAATAATACGAATTAAACTTGGCAATTATATACAGTTTAAAAAAAATGTTTTAATGTTTCAGATATGAGATTCTTTTAACTTTTAGCATAATTTCAGACTTTCTAAACTTATATTTCCTAATTATATTTTCTAACTAATACTTCCTAATATTTCTACATTATTTTACTTTATTATTATTTTATTCCTTTAATCATGATTTATCTATAAAGCTTGACAGTTTGTTGAAGGTACACATATAGCAACAAAAAAAAATACGTATGCAAATAATTTAAAAGTTTTTGTTGACGCAAAATAATTTTGCAGACTTTTTTTTATATTTATTTTATCATGATTTGATTTGATAAGTATTTTCAGAATCTTTTGTTCTTTTCCTACTTACATGTCTGATATTCGATATTTCTTTTTTAAAAAATAATTTCTTCCTCTTCAGTTGGAAGAAACTTAATTTTTCCAGGACGTTTTTTTTCCACTTTCGTAAAACTTGTCATCCTGGCTTTTTATGAAACTGAAACTTATACCATATATGCTCTTATTTAATCTGTGTTCTTTTCTCACAGGTCTATTGTGCCTGAACAACTTATTGGGCTTGTTGTGATAATCCATTTTTTAATTGCTGTTTTTATCCATGGAAGACAAGTGGAATGGACTGCAAGATTAGATTTTCTTTGGAATTTACAGGTACTTAAAAGTTACATATTTAAGTAAGCAATAAGTACTTAACATGTTGGAAATGATGATGTTAAGCCACAATTAATATTTTTTCAGCATTAAATTTTATTTACCAAAGATATTTTTATATCATTGATTATTTTAACCCCTTTTATTGTACTCTGTTAACTAAAGTATATTCTGAAGTGTTTTTTTTTTTTAAATAGTCTCTTAGTGTTTTTTTCTTTTCAATTTCTTTTTAGATTGCATAGCTTCTGAAAATTGATCATTTCATGCAAGTAATAGTTAAATGCTTTGTTTGTTATTGAAGGTGATTGCTTTGATTTTGCCAAAGAAATATTAAAACTGTACTTTTAGTTGTTTTATCAACCTTTTCATTATTACAATTTTATTTTAGTTTCACCACAATCATTTTTACTTCTGCTAAAAGGCAGCATGTTATCTTACCTTTGCAAGAAAAATGTAATATCATAGTGTGAAAGGAATTTAAAAAAATGATTACAAAGTGTGTTAAGATAAGTAGATGATATTATAATTACACAATACAAGTCAGAATCACATACTGCTTTGTTTAATAGAAAATTATTAATAAAAGTTTAATGAAAATGATTTGATGAAAAAAAGGGACAAAGGAGTACTACTCATTTGGGTCAACAGTACGAAAGAATTTCAAAATGACATTTTAATCATCACTCTTTTTTGTAACAAAATACAGTACAGAACCCGTTATCCGGAAATCAGAAAACCGGAAAACCGGAAAACCAGAACGAAATTCGATAAATTTTCCAACCATTTTTTAAAAAATAAATTTTTTTTCCTCATAAGAATTTAGTATTTTTCTTTCTTTTTCGAAAGATGTTTACCTTAGAATCATTTTGGAAATAATCATTAGTGTATTACTTCATNATAGTTCGAAAGCCTACTTTAACAATAGAAAAAACGGCTTTTTGTAGCGATTCAGAAAACCGGAAAAATCAGTTATCCGGAATAGCAATGGTCCCGATCGTTCCGGATAATCGGTTCCCTACTGTACCTCTATTTCTGTAAAGCACTGTTATGAAAAACAGTTCAAAATTCATTTAATGAAAATTAATTATAAAACAAACAATGTTAACTCCTTATTCTAAATATTTTGCTTATCTGAAGTAGCTACAAATAATCAAGACCTACAGTATTTTAAAACCACTCATTCATATTTTGCAAAGGCAAACAGAGATAGTAAAATTATTTCATTTATAATATTTACCTAAAAGAACCAAGGATATTGGAATCTACCCAAAATTAGTAATTATTTACAATGTCACACATCTCATTCAATAACCCTGCTCCCTGGTGGCCGACTGCATGTTCATCTGAACAGAAGTAAATAAAAACTCTAAATGTAAACAAAACATTTTGACTATTAATGTCCGTTGATTAGTGCAATTGATGTCATCCATCAACCAAATATTACAACCAATGGTATTTTAAAAAACCAATTTAATGTTTGCACAGAAAGCTATTATGTTATCTTCATTATCTCAGAGAATCATTTCTTCGCCATCCATTGTAATATAAATATTTATATTTGGATAGCAAATTTTTAATGTACTTATGATTTGTAATCTTAATTTAATTTAAAAAAGTAAAATAACCTCTTTGTTCTTTAGTAAATATATTGTAAATTTTTTAATTGGCTCAATTTCCCCAAACTCCAAGGAAATTTATTGGTTTTAATGTGGTTATCATGGTCTAATGTAATAATCTAGTCATTTAAATATTCAATAATTTAATATGACTATTTTTATGAGTGCTGTCCTTACATCACTGAAATGAAATAATTTAGTGAATAAAAATACCATTTTTTGATTATTTTTAAATGCTTGGATTCTTTTGTTCTATTTCTTCACTTGATAAGTATTTTGAGTAATCAATATCAAATTAGTGGATTTAGGGTATGAAATACCATATTAGATCAACCAATAAAGAAATTTATGTTTACAATTTAGATTTCAGTTATTTTTTACATATTTATCAAACCCGCTTCTAACATGAAAAATACTAAGTTTCAGATTTTGTAACCATTTATTTCCCTGTTTGCAATTTCAAAATTTTGAAGAAAGAAAAAACATTTTTGCAGTTTTTACATTTTTAAAAAGCCATAACTTGAGAAATAATTGACCTATGGAGCTAAATTTTTTGCCGTTTATTCACTTTATAAATTATATTACATGGCTAATAGATTTTGGAACATGGAATTTTTAAGCTCTATGCAATTGATCTTAACATTATTCTGCAGGTCATAATACCTATGTACAAAATTTTATTCCATTCACTCAAATGGTATGCTCTCCAGAGGGTCATATGTTGGCAGAGTCATTTTATAATCACCCTGTACATTCAGCTTTCAAATGGAAATAGTTAAAAAAAATCATTATATTAAAGATTTGGATCATGATCATAAAAATTATTATTTGGTATCAAATAGAAATTGTTATAATTCTGTATCACAATAAAAACTGCTCAATTCCTTAGAAGTACACTTTAAGGCAATGCAATAATAAGCCACAAAAAAAGAGAAAAATTTGAAAAAAATTATGAAGTAGGAGCCTATATGAGATAAAATAAAGCGTTTCTCATTTTAGTTAATATTTTCAAACGTCATTTTAGAGTAATATAAACCTAAATTATCTTAATACAGATAAGATTGGAAACTGAGAAATGTTTCTTCCTTTGTAGGCTAATGAAGAGAAACATGAAATGCATGAATTACAGAATAGTAATAGAAGAATACTGTTCAATTTGCTTCCTGCTCATGTTGCCACTCATTTTCTAGACAATCAGTTCAAGAACAATATGGTTTGTATAACTATCTTTAAAAATTCCTTTTCTTAATTGGCATTTTAATTTTAAAATAGAATCCAATTTATAAATGTCAAGGCCGGACTCAAAGTGAGTAGGAAAGAAACTATTTTCCCGAAGCTCAGATCAGCTGAGGGCCTAGTTGAAATTCTTTGCAAAGAGTGTAATGCCTTATTAATAAAAAGGTTGAAAAATTTTTTAGATATATTAGAAATATTCTATAGTTTTTATCGCAATTTTACTTACTAGAACTCGACGTGAGTAAAAGAATAAAAATGCTATAAGTTTTCACTTAACATTTTTGAAGAAAAAATTAAATAAATAAAAAATAACTTATGAAACAATTTGAAGTCAAAGTCATTTAACTAGTCAAAAGTCCAACTAATTGTCCAAATCTTTTATTCAAACATATATTTTGCCTCCAATAGAAGAACTTTTCTCACGAACTGGAGCAAGCTGTCATCTCTCCAATTAAGCCTTAGTTGAAGGGCAAGCTTCTGCTAAAAAAAACTCAAGACAATAATACTCATGAAAAGTATTGATACCATTTGTAGTATAATGACATTTTTTCCAACAAATAAATATTATTTAGATTTATATAATTTTAATAATATGAATTCAAAGATATTTTTCATGCAAAAGTTTCATTCTATTATGTAGACTAAATGTCACATAATGTAAGGCACATAAAAATTTTGGGAATTTGATGTGTGTTGTGAAACAATTTTTAATATTTTTTCAGGATCTCTACAATCAAAGCTACTCTAAAGTAGGAGTTGTATTTGCTTCAATTCCGAATTTCCATGAATTTTACATGGAACTTGATGGAAATAATCAAGGAATGGAATGCTTGCGTTTGCTGAATGAAATAATTGCAGACTTTGATGAAGTATTGTTTTAACTTATTTCTCATTTCTAAAATGTATAATAATTATGTAAATGTATGTTTCGTACATTAGTCAAGAAAAATTCACTTTGTAGTGTAAATTAACTTTAGCAGGGTGTTTCCCTAATGACCCCTCTTAATATATATATTTTGAGAATCCTGTAAAAGTTGAAGTAAAAAAAGTATGTATCCCTTTGCTATTGAACAAAGAAAATATATAAATCACATGAATCACTTCTAAAGAAAGCGGAACTGAAAATATGAAAACATGTTTGTTTGCCAAAAGAAAATTGTAAGAGTCTTAATAATACCTCCAAGTTTCATCAGAGAATCAAACTGTTCTTAGATTTTTCATTCTGCCTTCTTCACTAGTGATTGGGCAGATTTTATTATCATTTGTGTTTCTTCCTTGCTTATAAACTTTGCCTTTTTACGTCTTTTTAACTAGGATTCTAAAATATATATATTAATTGCGGTACTTACGGAACATTTTTTTTTCCTACCCAAAAACTGATTTTTGATTTTTAGTATTTTTATTTCATTTTAAATAATGGCTTTGCAAAGCATACATATTTGACATTTTGGAAACATTTTATATTTATTATTTCTAAAAAACTGTTCAAGTGTGAACTATTAAAAAATTGTCAAACTTTTCTTTCCAAAGAGCTAAAATTGCATAGTTTAACATGAATTTAACTAGATTATAATTCAAAGATAATGATATTTTAAATTATTGATCGGACATGGCACATATCTTATTTATTCTACCTGATTTATTGTTACAAAATTTTGAGAAATTTAAAATATTACTAAGAAGAAAAAAACGATAAAAAATTTTCTATCCTGATATTTTATTAGAGTGAATTAGGAATCTCATACTAGTTTACTAATTTTTGGAAGCTGGAGTTTATCAAATGTTGTATGATGAATATTAGTTGTTTCAAAAAATGTGAATTGAATGTGAAAAAATTTGAATCTTTGTGCAGTTTATTTAAAATTATTTTTGTTCAATTAATAATTTAGTGATCACAGAATTTTTTAATTGCTTAGTTGCATTCATATTTAATGACACTTTAATCAAAAATGTTAAATTGAAAAAATAATTTGCAATTTAAACAGAATATCAAATTTTCTGATGGACTCATTATAATGATTGATTCCCTAAGTGAGTCCATTAACAAAATGCATTTTGAAACAGCTAACTGAAAAATTATTTGCTTTATATCTTATTTAATATAGAATTATTTTAAATTTTATTTTTATAAATTGTATTTTTTATTAAATTGTATTTTTTTTATTCAATTTTAATTTGTAATTTATGAAACTTATTTCTGAAGTTCTTTGTTACTGTGCAAAGTTCAGCTTTTTTCCTGAAACTGCCATGGTATGCCTGACTGTTATTTAATGTTAAATTCTCTTAAAAAAATAAATTATAATTGTGGTAGTTTTTATACCTAAATTTTGTAAAAACTGTTAAATATAATTAAATATAATTCAATAAAATATTATTCAACAGTAAAAGTTGTACAACAGTAAAGAATTCTGAAAATGGTTTATTAGATTTTTAACCACTTTAAAATATAACTTTTTAGTAATTATAACCACTTGTGGTGGAAGAGCTTAAAAGGACACCCTTAAATGATTGCAAAAAAGTGCTTAACAAAATTGTTGTTAACGTGTAAAACAACCTAGCATTTTTAGAAAATACTTAAAATATTATTTTAATTTTAGCTTTTAGATGATGAAAGGTTCAAATCTATTGACAAAATTAAAACTGTTGGAAGCACTTACATGGCAGCTATAGGACTTATGCCCGAATTCCGTATTATTGTAAGTAGTTATACTTCACTTTAGTAGATCACATTAAAAGTTTTGAGAACATTTTGTCGCATTTTTTTTAAGCATTGAATATTTTCTGACTAAAATTCAAATTAGTATGTTTTTTTAAGAATATTTAAGCATAACATGATTTTCCCAGTGAGCAAAAAAGCTTTAGTTTCTTACTGTGGTTTTTACGTGGTGAGTTTTTTAATGATTGGCTTTTATATTAAAAATTGTTTCGTTATTAAACATTGTTAAAAATTGTTTCTTAATTGTTCTGTTAAAAGATATGTAGTAATAATTTATAATTTTAATTCATGCATTTGAGCTATAATTTGTTTTATGCTCGATTCCAGGCAATTCTGTCGTAAGCCTATCTTGTGTTTTGGACATTTTTCTGGCTGTTATTGCTATTAGTATTCTCATGAATTTTGCAATTCAAATGGCACATGAAATTTAAATCGCTCATTTGAGTAATCAATTTGTAACATACACGATGTGCATCTATATAATCATAAACTCATACAGTGTTTTGATTATTTTCTGCAGTTATTGCTGCAAATTTGCACTTTTTTCTTTTAAAAAAAAATGATTTTTTTCATACAATATTATTCCAACACGCGAAATTCAAGTCACAAATTTGCTTATTCACTTTTTTACACCACGATTCCACCGTTTTATTGGCTGACTTTCCTGCAGTTTTAACAACTGATTTCAGAATTGTTTTTAAAATCTCAGTATTTCCCATGCATTATTACGCATGAAATTTGAATCACACATTTACGTAAAGCTTGAAAATATTGAAAATCCATGTAGTGTTCAGATCATGTTTCCAGCAGTTGCTGCTGTTGATTTTAAGAACCTGATATATTTCATGTAATATGAGAAATTCCTATCGTACATTTGAGTATATATACTTTTTTCACATTGATTTTATTGTTTTTTAGATTCAGTTGGTAGTTATTGCTACTAATTTTTGCAGTTTTTAAAATTCCCCTGATATCATTTTTCAGCACCGGAATCTTTAAATACATATTTGAGTTGCTCCTTTCTGAAGAGTTTGGGGAGTTTCATTGGAGAATTGAAAAAATTTCGTCATAAATCTATGTGGTTTTGTTTTTGATCTTTTTTTTTCTTTTTGGCAATTACTACCACGGGTTTCACAGTTTTTGAAATTATGTTTTTTCATGCGAAAAATAAAGGAACAAGTGAGTTTTTTTAAAACGTCAGAGAACATTGCCCATAATAATAAAATAAATATGTATATCATATTTTATATTGATGAAAATATACATATGAAATATTTTTTCTTTCTCCCGTTGAATTTTATAAATGTCACTTTTGGGTATTAAAGTTATGTGTGCTTTTTACAAAGCTAGAAAACATTCTTCTTCAGCTCGACAGCCCCTTACAGGCCTTGGCTGTCTCAACCACACGTAGCCTCCAATGCCTCCTGTCCATGGCGACTTTTTTCCAGCTGTTTATTTTTAATAATTTTAGATCTTTAGCAGTGTCATCCAGCCATCTAGTTGGAGGTCTTCCTCTAGCCCGAGATCCCGAAGGATTTTTACAGGTGGCGATTTGGACTACATTATTTTCTGGACCTCTCCAGATATGGCCAAGCCATCTTAATCTATTGCTTCGGATGACCTGCACTGTCTGTGGCGGTCCATAGAGTCTATATAATTCAAAGTTGTATCTGATTCGCCAACAGTCTCTTTCCTGTACTGGGCCAAAAATATTTCTAAGGATTTTCCTTTCAAAAACACCAAGAGTATGCTGAGTGTCTGCATTTAGTGTCCATGTTTCACTTGCATAGAGCAGTACAGGTAGAATAAGAGTCTTATAAATTTTAATTTTAGTTTTTCGACTGATTAGGCTTGATTTTAATTGCTTTCTTAGTCCAAAGAAGCACTTGTTTGCCATTTTAATTCTGTTGTCTACTTCTGTTTTTATGCTGTTTTGGTCATTGATCATTGTTCCAAGGTATTTGAATTCATTGACCTTTTCAAAGGTGTAACCATTTTTGAATAACGGATCATAATTTACAGTTGTGGCTGGAGATTCCACAAACTTTGTTTTATCTTCATTGATGGTAAGGCCCATATTTGTGGCAGAAGTTTCAAGAGCCAGAAAGGCCTCTCTCACAGCTCTCTCTGACCTTCCTATGACATCGATGTCATCGGCATATGCCAGTAATTGAACTGATCCAAAGGGTGCCTTTTCGGTCTAATCCACTATCTCTGATACATTTCTCCAGAGCTAGATTAAAGAGTAGACAGGCGAGGGAATCCCCTTGACATAGGCCTCTCTCTGTTGAAAATGGTTCTAATAATTGATTTTGAATTTTAACTCTGCATCTTATATTGCTTAGTGCATCTTATATTGCTCTGGTTAAGTTGATAAGTTTAGTAGGGATCCCAAATTCGGCCATTGTTTCCCGTAGCTTATCTCTCCATATGCTGTCGTAAGCAGCTTTAAAGTCTATAAATAAATGAAAAGTTTTGATATTATATTCCATAGTTTTTTCTAAAATTTGTTTTAGAGTGTGAATTTGATCAATAGTAGATCTTTGTGATCTAAAACCACATTGGTAGTCTCCAATTATTTTGTCGGTAAAGGGGAGAAGTCTTGCAGAAAGCAAGTTAGAGAATATTTTATATGCCGTGAGGAGTGTAATGCCCCTATAGTTACGACATTCAAGTTGGTTTCCTTTCTTAAATATGGTGCAAATGGAGCCTTCTTCCCATTCAATGGGCAATTTCTCCGTATCCCAAGTTTTAACTATGATATTATAGATGGCGTTAAGAAGCTCTGGTTCATCAGTTTTTAGTAGCTCAGATGGTATAAAGTCAGGACCAGCCGACCTATTGTTGTGAAGTTTTTTAATAGCTAGTACAACCTCATCTAGAGATGGTGGGGGATGTCTACGTGTTGAACTTGTTTCAGTTCTTCAGGGCTGTTCTCTAAGTTCAGAGTCTCATTTTTTGCTTCAAGCAAATCTTGAAAGTAGCCTTTTCAAACTTTAAGCACGTGATGAAGTTCGCTCGCTCACAAGTTCTCCATCCCTATTTCTGCAGGTGATAGATTTTGGCTTAAATTCTCTTCTCATATTATTTACTAGTTTATAGAACCTCCTACGTTCTTTTTGGTTATTCCAGCTTTCCAGGAGATTTAGAGATTCCTCTAGATATGCTCTTTTCTTTTATGTAATTTCTTTTCTGTTTTCCTCAGATTCCTGTATTTTTCCTCATAACTTCTGATATAATGTTTTTGTATCATCAGTCTGTAGCCTTTAATGTTTTCTTCAGTAGCTTTTCTGCAATCATCATCAAACCACTCTCTTCTGGTCCTACGTTCTAAGCATGGAATGGTTTCATTTGCTGATTTTAAAATGATTTCCTTAACTGAGTTCCAATCGAAGATGCTATTTGGATTTTCTTTTTCCAGTTCAGTGGATCTAGACAGTTTGCACTTGAATTCTTTAAGGATGCTGGGATCATTTAATTTAGCGATGTCTAGTTTAAGAATGGTGTTTTCCTTCTTAGAGTAAAATTTCTTACATAACCTAAGTCTAACTTTGCTCCTCTGTAGCTTCTCACATCTAACACATTGCTACGATGTCTTGTATCTACAAGTACATGGTCTATTTGATTAAAGGTTAGACCGTCTGGGGATCGCCAGGTGTACTTGTGTATTTTCTTATGTGGGAATGCTGTACTGGATATAAACATATTCTCTGAGACAGCAAAATCAAAAAGTCTCTGTCCGTTTCTGTTAGTTTCAGGGTGTAGGCTTTCAGCAGAAGCATAGGATCTAATAAATTGTTCTCTTCCAACCTTAGCATTGAAGTCTCCAAGAACCAGCTTCACATCCTGGACAGGGCATGAATCGTAACACTTCATAAGTAGGTCATAAAATAGGTATTTTTCCTCGTCTTTGTCTTCTGTTGGTGCATGGGCACAGATCAATATGATATTGTAATGTCTACCCCTGATTCTGATTTTGCTGATCCTCATGCTTATGGCCTGAAAATCAGTAACCAAGTTTCTTAGTTTTTTGCTTACGATGAATCCGAAACCAAACTGGTGGGATTTTTCTTGGCAGCTATATTAAACTCTGCAATCCTTCTTATCCAAAATGCTTGTCCCAGCCATCTGATCTAGTGGATTGCTAGGATATCAATATCATAGTTGACAAGTACTTCTATTAAGTTTTTCAGGGCACCTCCTTTACACAGGGTGCGAACATTCCAAGATCCAATTTTCAAGTCCTTTTCCGTTCCAAGTCGTTTGAGTAGAGTCCTGCCGGTTTCCACATATTGTTGAGGTTTCTGAACTCGAAGTTTTTTACAGTGTGGGGTAGTTGGCCCCACGCCAAACCCCCAACCTGGAGGACTAGGGTGTTCCTCTTTGTCTGGTGTCTCCCCTCCGACCTGTCCGGCTTGGGTGACCCTACCAGTAGCTAAGCTACCGCCAGCATAGCTCTCGGGATCAACAACACACACAAACCACACCACCACGATAATGTGGGAACATTGCCCATTTTAATACATTTTTTTTTTATATTGATGAAAATATATATATATTTATATGTATACAAAATACTTTTTCCCAGTGAATATTATGGATGTTACTTTTATGTATAAAAGTTATAGGGTATTATTTTTTACTCTTTTCATTTAATTGTACAGAAATAATCTTTTATGTATAAAGGAAATTAGTTCTAAAAATTTGCGCATTGTGGTAAAATTTTTCCATTTCAAAGCAAAATTATCTAACCATAAAATTCTAAAAATTTTCACATAATATTTTTCTGTCAGCAATCACATAACTGTTACTCCTTCTCTGCTGCCATGGTTTGGAAAATCTTACTTTATCCACATGTCAGTTAATTTCAACTTTTTACTAAAAGGGCGAGCAAGATTTGTTGAAAAAATGGTAATAGAAAGGGGAAAATTGGGGAAATCATATGACCTTGAGACTCCTATATTGTTTACGTAGAGTCTAGTCATATAAAATTCTGTTAACGTCTTTATTTTTTCAATCATATCAATTAAATTACTGTTTTGTACTGTTGCTGATAGTCAAAACGGTTATGATTTGTGTTCTATAAAGATGGAATAGTGCTTTCAAAATGCTCATTGCCAGTACAAGGTATGGCGATTAAAATACTAAATTTGTTGCAGTGAAAATGTTTTATTTATTCTTTACAAATTTTGTAAGAAAACTGTGTGTGTTTCAAATTACACTATAAGAAGTAAATCAAGATCAGTAGAAATGTTAATTTTACTATCAATCTCACAACTTTTGTGTTTCTGTAAAAAACACTCTTAGCATTTCCGGAAAATACGAAAATTGTATACATTTAAATCATCATGGACACCTAATGGACAATTACAGTCAATTTTTTAAAAAATTTTAATGCATTCAGAATCCCTCATAACTCCCAGAAAACAGTTTATCACTTTCCTAAGAAAGCTATTTATTTAGTTATTTTGAAACAAAAAACGCTTACTTTCGTAAACGCTTATTTACCTGAAACGGGGAGTCTCGTGATTATTCACAAACTGACGTCACACGTGTCCATCTGCTGTTCACTTACAATTACTGTACTGTGAAAGCCAATACGTTCTTGTTTTCGTTTGAATTTTCGTAATTAAATCCAACTATTTTAGATGGTCAATAACTATCTTTATAAAAAATTGCGCCCTAATATCGCTTAATAAAGTTGTGGGTTTAATATAACATATTTTTATAATGTTAAATTTTTATGGTACCCACTGAAACATTGTTAATAGTTGAAGAAATTTTCTTGCTCTGAATATGTAAGATTTTTTAATTCAATAAAAAAAGTGTGTGCTATTGCTTATTAAATGATGCGTTATAAATACAAAATAACTTCGTTTTTTTTTTTTTCTTTTCATTTTTTAAACCATATTAATCTTAATTTTAATATATACTTCAAATTCATTTCGAAGATTTATTTTCATCTTAAGTGAAAGAAATGTTGGATCAATTTTTTCATGTGGAATAAATAGTTTTAGATTTCAAAATAGCAGTGGCCTTTTAAAAAACTTGTGATCCCAGCAAAACTTTAAATTCACTCTTCCAACAAAAAAAATTTAAAGTTTAATTTTATAATGCATGTGAAAATAATTTTTCACCATAACAAAGTTCCTATTTACTCAAAGAATAAAAATATTGAGAAAAAATATCAACATTACTGTTTATTTTTTAATTATTTAATAAATAATAAAGAGTGTGCATTATATATATAGAATTTCTTTCCATTTTGCATAACCTAATTTTTTATTATCGTTCTTTAGGTTTAGTGAAACAAAAACTTCTAGCTTAATGATATTCGCTGACATTTTGTAAATAAATGAATTATTTAGATGTGGACAAATGAGAAATTAAGTGAAATTTTAAGTATAACTAGATTATGGTGATGATGATGGTCAGATATATTTCAATGGACTAAATTCTTAAAAGTGTTGATTTTAACCTGAGATTTTTTTCAACTATTTTAATTAAATTTTTTAATTAACATTGTATAATGTATTAATTTTATTACTTTAGAATTCTTCATTGCAAGCACTCACAAATAGTTTGCAAAAATAAGGAGAGAAAAGACCAATAACCATACTTTGTTAATTCTATATTGCAGAAAAAGGAATTAAAATTTGAAAAGTTTAAAAATAAAAATAATTTCTAACTGTAACAAAATTCCTATTTATGCAAGGAATAATAAATATAAGCGTTAATGTGTATTTAAATATTTAATACATAGTAAAAAATAAAATGACATAAACTGCATTAGTAAATATTTACTTAAAAAGAAAATCCTTCAACTCCAGTAATAGATAAAATAATATAAGAGGCAACATTAAATTACTTTATTTGAATTCTTAAACATTAGCACATAGATTGTAACGATGATGGACTGAATTTTTTCAATGGACTAAATTTATGAAAATACTGATTTATTTTAATACAATAGCGAATTATAAAATCATACATCCTATATCTAAATGTATACTATTTCTATCCAATCTGCGACCTATTTTAATTAAGTAATTAGGCTGTAATGGAGCATTATTTTAATTTAAAGGTAAGTGGAATAAAATATTATTTTCTATGAGCTTTAACACCACTGATTTCAGCCGAAAAGAAATGCTGATTCACTATAAAGAGCTGCATAATTATTTCTTCAGATATTTTAGTGATAAATAGCAACGTTTGAAGTTTTAAAATCTTTCTTTCATTTTGCACACACTCTCAAAACCGTAAATTTAATTCGCAAAATTTTTACTAATAATTTACAAAGGATGTTCATACGATATACGTGATATCAAAACTAAAAGAGCATTGAAATAGCCCTAGCGGATGGAGACGGCACGTTCCCATTCAGCACATGTGACGTCATAACCAATCAGGGATCGTTTTTGATTACGGAGGACTTTTGGGTCAATTTAAATTTTTAATAACTAAATAAATTAACATTTGCCGAAAAAAACAATCAGATTTTCGATTTCAGGAGAGAATTTCCAATAAGCTAGGTATGAAAATAAAAAAATTTATGTTATGCTGTAATTGTCCATTGGTGGTATACTGTAGCCACTTGATGAATCAAGATTCAAGCAATAAGCTCTATTTTTTGGAACAGCTGCAAAAATGTTTCTGTGATTCATCTGCAATTAGTTTATTTATTTATTATTGTTTTTTTTTTGGTAATAATTTCTGGCAGGGGTTTTAACACTAAATTACCCTTGGCTGTACCTCTAGAGGTGTTTCTCTGTTTAAAGTTTACAGTGTTGGGTAGCATTTTGTTTTTATTTAAAATTTCAGCAATACTTGATTAACGATTTTTTTCTCCACAATATCAAGAATATGACCCTAGTTTTATAAGTTGACAAAAACAAGACCATGACTGAAAAAACCTAATTTAACAGTTTATTTGAGATTCACAAAATTATGAATAGATTTTTCACACAATTTAATGAAAACATGACCTTTCAGAAAAAGTCTGGATTGACCATGACCCCACATTAGTTACAGTAAATACCAATTTAAGAATCACAGATACCAAATAAATTGAGTAATTGATCTATGTTATTATTTAAAACCTTTTATTTTCATTTTTTTAACTGCTCTTAATATTTTATAGGAAAATGATCCATCATCAGCAGTTGAATACATGAGTATATTAGCTGAAATGGTTTTTGCATTTAAGGATAAACTAGCTGATATAAATGAAAATTCTTATAATAACTTCTTTTTAAGAGTAGGTAAGCGTGTTTATGCATTTAATAACTTTTCATATTGAAAATTAATTATTATTATTCTTTGTACTTCGAATACTCACAGACAAAAGTCTCTGGTAGCCAAATAAAAACATTTGAATAATTGTTCCAGTTGAAGAAGCTGTAGTCACATTTCTTTATCTCTTCAGCCGTTTTCCACAACAATATACTGCATTCTGATTTTTTGTTAAAGGTGAGCTCAAAAAAGCTGTGTATAGCAGTGCATTTGTAAACTCTATGTCCTTAGTGCTTTGTTATTTGAATTCTTATGTTATCCTCAGATATACCGATCTTTGAATCTGAATTCATTCTCTTCATTTATCTTCAGCAGCAAATTTTAGTGTTAAAACATCATCTTGTTTAGTTCTAAGAAGTTACTTCATAAAATTTGATATAGTATTCTTAATTACTTGAAGGTTTTATTTTGAACAATATCACGCAATAAACAGTACAGTGTGGCTTTCTCTTATGGAAGAAAAGTAGAGACATTTGCTTGAGGAAACACATTGGTAATGTCGCAAGAAAATTACTTGTTATTAGAAAACTAGTGAAGAAACTTTTTAAGTTCCAAACATTAAAAAGAATCTAATTCATCATCTGGATTTTTTTATTAGAAATGAGAAGTTCTACAAATTCTTCATAAGTCATCTCTCAAAGTTATAAGATTATCTACTTCTTTATCTTTAGCTAATTTAAATATAATCTACAGAAATTTACGTGAGAAAAAGAAGTACTTGACATAATGGTTACCTGGCAGCTAATTTTACTACAGTGTGGTTTTTAATTTAAAATACAGATGTAATCTAAAATTGTCAAAAATAAAAGGATTCAGTTCTTATGCATTTTTCCTCTTTCCAAATAAATTAGATGATAAACCCTTTAAAATGATCGTTATGTGGTATTCAGTTATGGGTGTTTTTAATGTGGTATGTATGTGGTATTTTCTAATTGCTATCGGTTTGGGTACAAATCAGATTATAGTGTCACGGAATGGGAAATTCGATGAAGGTAAAGTAATCGCCTAAAAATATATTCACAATCATTCATATACTTACATGTTCAAAAAGGAAAGTGAATTCAAATATTCAGATTTTGTTCCCTCACAAATAATTAAAAAGATGACTCATCAAAACAAGAAAACAGTGGAAAACCCTTTTGGGAACTGAAACCCGCAAAGACATTCTTGCGTTCAATCTCTGGCACATTTAAACATATGAAACCCTGAATTCCTCTTTTCAACATGAATAACAACTGCGGAAGAAGGGAAATGAATGAAAAATGAAAAGAAACAACATTAAGACTTTCAGAAAGAAAAACTATTAACTGTTACTGGGTGTTACATTTTTGTTTAAAAAAAAAGGGGGAATGGTAATAAAAGAGGGATAAAAATGAAAGCATATGTCACTAAAAAAAAATTTCTCTTGTTTTTCTAGATTACGTATTTTGCTTTGTATTGGTTATTGTAAATTGTAACTTAAACTAAACATCCAAACAAATTTTATGATATTAATAGACTGTCTAAAATTCCAGCTTGGGACCAGAGGCTTTACAGATTTTATCCTAAGAGTGGTTTTACTTGTAGAAAGTTGTAATCTTTTTTAATCCTACTAGTTTAAACGTTTATGCACGTAAGATACTTCACTTCATTTTCTACCTACAAACGGTTCTGCATACAGAAAAATCTATAATTTTTTGTGTTGAAACTCCCACCGATCTGGAATTAGAGAGGAGAAAAATGACCCTTTGTATAAAGTGACCACATTTTCATTGAGACAAAGCGGGACAAATGGGATGAAATGAGAATTACAATTTAGTTATATATATATTTTATTGTATACATTCATATACTTGTACAAAAATGTACTTATTATTAATTATTGGTAACAATAAAAATATTTGTAAAAAATAATAATTTGAACTTTTTAATCAAATTAAGTTTTTTATTTAAAAAAAAGTATGATTTTCTTTCACGGTCATATTTTTGATCTGAGTAAATACTTAGCAATAGATTCGGATCATTTATTAAAATGTCGTCACATGAATTGGTCAAATTATATTCTACACTTAAAATAGATTTTTAAAGTTTTAATGTTCAACTGCGTTGTTTCAGTTGTCCATATTTTATTGATACTAGAAAAAACATGTTCTGTTGCTACATTTGTTCCTGGAAGGGAGAGCGCGAATTCTACAATTTTCAAAATATTTTGATAAGGAATATTATTCTGTTTAAAATGAAGGAATAACTCGGTCCATTTTTTTTTCTGTTTCCACATTTGCAGATAACCAACATTTAATTTTTTCATCTGTAACATTTCATATGTTCAAATTATTCTTTTTTAAAATAGTACTTACTGAATCAAAAATTATTTGTGAAGTTTCACTCAGCAATGAAACAAAATCTAATATTCTATATTTAATTCCTGTTTCTGGATCAAAAAATCTAACAATTGTGGGAAATAATTTTAAATCTTTGTGGTTGGAAGCATCAGAATTCATGGATATAAATGCGCATTTTTCTAATTCTTTCTGCAATTGTGAAAACGAATATGGTGAAAAAATATTACAAATAATTGCTTCGGTTTTTGTCCTTGCACATGCATATTTTTTGTCGTATAATGTTTTGATCATTTGCGACGTAGAATTCATTGATCTGAAACTTTGATTTCGAGATCAAGGTTTATGGTGTGGAAAGCAAATAGCCCTTCCGCTAATGCTAGCTGTTTTTCCGTGTTGGCAAAGCTAGCAGTGCGAAAAAACTGTTCCATTTCAGACGAGGAAGCGGCATTATTCAAAAATCTTTTGTGCCTCTTTGTCGCTAGATGTTTAGTAATATCATTTTTTCCACCATGTGAGACCAAAAATTCAGCATTGCATTTATCACACCGTACCATATAGTCTATATTGTGTTTTTTAATAAATTGAAATTCTCTGCTTAGCTCTTCATTAAATTTGCATTCTCTTTTTTTACTTATCTTTTATTCTGTGGGTAAATACTAGAAATGAATAAAAAATTTACTACAAAGGCTAAAAAAGAGTATTAAATTTTGCCTTATTGACGTTACGTTGTGGCGACTATTGATCTACCACTATCTTCGCAATCAAATAATGAGTCAAACCGAACGTCAAATTGAAAACAACAAACTGCACTGTCTGCACTTATCTGAATTAAGCCGAGACGTAACGACAATGATCGATAACCACCGAGTAAATCTAACTCGGTACATTGTCTAATTTAGTTTACTCTCCATGCATTTTACGTGCTTTTTTTAATATATTTTTTATTTCTTTATATTCACCATAATACTTAATAAATAATAGGTAATATATTTTTACAGTGCATTTAAAATAAGAAATGCAGATATTTTCTGAAAAGCGGGACATTTTTAAAATTCGGCGGGACGTGGGACAGTCCACTGAAAAGCGGGACTGTCCTGCCAAAATCGGGATGTGTGGTCACTTTACTTTTGTACCTCAGTTTCTTAATTAAAAAGGGAGAATCAGCCTGAACCACAGTTATAAAAAAACATATTAATATTTCAAAGCAGTAAAGTATACCATCAGTGGGTTAAATCATATATTTGTTAGCAATTTTACTATGCAACTTTTTCTTTCTTATACTTTTACTTCTTCTTTGGAAATGAAAGATAGCAAAAGCTAATGATAGAACTATATAACAAAATACCCTCCATTAAATTTTATAAGTTATCAATAAATTAATTATTTTTATGTACTTTTCAAACATAGATTTTATCGTAGTTTGTTTGAAGTGTTAGTAGTTTCTGAGTAAACATTCTTAACTTCTTGCTTCAAATTGAAACAGAAATTTTGAATCAAGTCTGTCACGCACTAGAATTTCTTTGGTGTATTGTAGTATTCCATGTTCTTTTCCCTTTGTCATTTTCTTAATATTGAAGGATGCTCTAATCAATTTCCTTTATGATCTTTAGGAGTAATTTTTATTCTCTTGTGTATGGTGCAATACCCCCATTACTATACTTGGAAAGTTCATGGTATCATTTTTGTGAATCTTTGTTTTCACTTCCAAAATATTTCAAAAAGAAACTTATGTTAAATTGCTAATATGGTATAGCTCAATTTTATCAAGAATCTATATCAGAAGAAGCTATATCAAAAAATTTTTCTCTGCTTAGTTCAGTCAATAATCAATTCAACTTAATCATTTTGATTGAAAATAAGCTAATGTCTTAAATTGTTTTGCCAAATAAGGGAACAATTCAAATTTAAATCAGAACAAAAATAATTTACACAAAAGTATGAAAAAATTGTAGAGAATAATTATGAAAAAAATTTTATTTAGATAAAATAAGAAAAAGTGAATTAATTTGACACTATTTCAACTTTACTGAACTCATTCCAATATCCCTTCACTTTCCAAAAAGTAACAAAAGAAAAAAATATGAATATTAAGTGAAGCATAATCAATAAAGAAAACCTGCTTATGTTAATTAAGTAAGATTAGGAATTAAAACTGATGTTTACTTTGTGCCTTTCCTATCAAGTTGAAAATCATAAAAACAGCAAAATACATACCCTCCAACTGCTATGGATTTTCTGTAATTTCAGAAAATAATTTTCCTTGTGGTAACTTATATAACTTATTAATTAATTAAATTATAAAAAAAATTTCACCACTATATGTGGATAATTTAAACGAATCTGTAAAATGTCAGATATGCAAATGAACATGTTCTTAATTTCTGATGAAAGTCTTAAGTAAACTATATTTTTTTTAAAAATCTCTGCTTATCACAATAAGAAAAAATATTTTGCTGAGACCTCAAATGCTAGAAGGTAGGAAAATATGTAAAATTTATATGACTTAAAACAATTGCAATCAGTTTATAAAATTTCTTGATTTTAATTTTAATCTTCAAACAATTAGTTTGTGAAAACTACTCATTTAAAATAATTAGAAAATGGTTGAGAATTTTAATGGCACTATTAAGTTATCAATTTGATCATGGTCATCAAATCCCAGGATTGAATGACCATGTAAACACTTATTAGTTCTTTAATGTCAGAGGAATTTAAAATACCTAAATCGGGATGATTGTTAATTCTTAGATATTCATAGTATATGTATAGAAGTTTCTTAAATTTTTAAGTGTATCTTACGATGTACAAGTTTTTTTTATTTATTTATTTTTAGTTACCAGTTTTTTTTCTTAAAAAAAAAGAGAGATAGTTCCAAAAAGTGTCTAAAAAGTTAAATTCTCTTGAAAAAATGTTCTTCTCTTCATTTCTCACTTTTAGAAAAGAGTTTATATCAATTTTAATTCATCATAGGTATAAATGTAGGACCAGTTGTAGCTGGAGTAATTGGAGCAAGCAAACCTCAATATGATATTTGGGGAAACACTGTAAATGTGGCCAGTCGAATGGATAGTACAGGTCTTCCCAATCATGTACAGGTTAGTTTCATACTGTAAGACACTTTTTGTTGGTTATAACATCTTTAAGATTAGAGCATATCCAGAATCAGCTTCATTTTTGATGAAAAAACAAACATTAAGCCTATGTCATTATAAACCTTATGATATGATCTTCTCTTTATAAAAGGAAGCATGTTTTTGAATTTAACCTCTTAAATATATAACTTGGTTTCAAATCTAGTTTAATCTATTTTTATTGAAGAGAAAAAAGTTTCTTGAGAAGACATTTCAGTTTACGCAATATTTAAGAATTTTTTCTTTTAATAATTTGGGTGCATGCTAGTCTTGAAAAAACTTTATTTTGCAGAAGATAAAAGAAAACTCATTTTATGCAAATTGAAAATTCTTTGGTTAATCAATCATCAATGTTGTTTTATTTAGTAAAAACCACTAATTGTATTTACCTTATTTTTACTGCTAACAAAATATATTTTTTTGATCATGACAAGTGTTTATCAACTTAAGCTTTACATTTGGTGATTGTTTTTGCCTTTTTCTTTCTTATTTTAGTGATAGGTGCAAACCATCCTGAACTCTTTATATCTCTAATATTTCCATTGATAAAAGCTTATAAAAATAACCACTGTAAAGCAAGGTATTAAAGAAGATATTATTTAAATTGAAATTTACACCAAAAAACTACCATATATATATATATACATATATTCAAAAAAAAAAAGTTGGCATTTTTAAACTTTAATTGGTCTAATTATTGCTGATTTTCACTAACTCTTGTGAGAAAAAAAAATTAAACTAAAATTCGAAAGTTATTAAAGAATTGAGGTGGTTTGGTAGACAGAGAATTTTTCACCGCCTCTATTATGATAGTCGCTACAGAATCTTTAGAAGAGACATTTAAACTGTTTTTGCTAAATTTTTTTGAGCATTTGTGGGCTCCATTAGTGCATCAATGTTTGAAGTGAACATTTCAAATAAAAAATGATGGCATAGATTTAAAAAATTTCAACTTGGAGAATCATCAACTCATTTTTAAATTTACTCAGATTTTGTAGCTTTTACTCTGTTTTACATGTATAAATTTTTTTTTCAAAACAAAATTTCAAAGTTTAGCAAAATATAAATGCTCATAACAAAAAATTTAGTGGTAATGATACAAGAAAATGTTGCTTTTCTTTTGAATTTAATTAGCTTCCAAATTCTACTTAAAATTACTTAAGCTTGGTGATATTTATTTTCAGTTTAACATATTTTAGAAATCAGAACAAACTATTTTGTTCTTTGCACAGTTTTCTTATAGAAATTATCACTTGTATTATGAATGACATAGAAATGATACTATTTTTGAAAACACCCATATATGTTTTGAAACCTTTAAAAAGAAATTAATTTAAAAATCTCTGCATATAAGGGTCACAAACTAATATTTAGTGAGAAAAACTAATGTTTTCAAACTCTAACTATTCATTATTGAAGCAAAGGAGGGATTAAAAAAACATGAGGCCATTTTATTTTTCTAAAGCTGAAACTTAATTGTTCTTACTGTAATATGAATATGTTCTAATCCCACTAGACAGATTAATTTTGGTGGATTATAATGCCTCCCTTTTTTGTTATCAACTTCTTTAATGATTATTCAGTGCTTTGAAATATTTTTGCTTTTTTCCACTTCTTTATTCTTAAAATATATATTGATAGCTGTTATTTTGTATTGTCTGTATGATGATTATATCTGATAAAGTGCTTTCTAATATTATTTTAATATAGCCAAAGCAAAATATATCAATGCAATAATGTAAGGAGCACCAATAACCTAAATGAAATAGAACATATTAAGCAAAAAATGCAAAATAAAACAATCAGGAAAAAAATAAAAAATATAAAAAATCAAGAAAATTCAGAATAAAATTCAAAATGTAATATAAATATAAAGTGAGTAGCGAATACAAATGCCCTTAGACTTACTGGCATTTTTCAAAATTGATTTAAAATGTTTTTGTAACAAGTTTGCTAGGTAATAAAAGCACATTTGATTTGTTAATTACCTTGGATTAGCCCAAATCTGGATCTGGGAAAGGTAATAATATTAAACTGAATTATTCAAATTTTGTAATTAAATCTGGCTGAATTTTAATTATAAAATTTTAATAGTAATAAGGTTGAAATTTAATTATAAATTTTTTTGTATTGATGATTTTATAATCATTTATTCAGATATTCTCTTCTTCTTTTAATACTTAAATCCAAAAAATTAAAATTAATATTATAATCATGGTTACAAAGTAAGATTAATTCCTTAGGGTAAATATTATTTAACAAAATTGCGTAATTTTGAAAATTAAATGGTCAATAAATTTAACATTAGGAGTATAATTTTTTCATAATAGTGTAAGAATAAATTAACCAAGAGTGATGAATAATTAGACCCTTGTGGCATTCCATTAATTTGAACAAAAATATTTTTCCATCGTAAAGATAATTATTAAAAAGACGGAAATTAATTAGAATTGCCCAATAATCAAAATCGCAATTAAAGATATTTTTATAATAGTAATAACTCAAAAGAACATCTTATAGTTAAGAAAGAGGGACTCTATTAAAAAGACCTTGGAAATCAAAAGTCGCAATAGAATCAATTTAATTTTGTTTCAAAAATTCTAAAATAGATTGCTTATTAGTGATAATCCAAGAAAAACCTCCTTAATAGATTGTTAATAATTTTATAAGTAGTTATAGAAAATGGTGCCAGGTGACAAATGTGAGACAAATAACAATCTTGTTATATACTTAACATTTTCCTACATGCATAACTTTCAAAGATAGCTATTTCATCCTTTGAGCTGGTAGAAGAAAGTAATGTTCATCAAATGAGCATACATTTTGCAGTTATCAAATGATTATGTTTCGCAAACAGGACAGTGTTAAATTTTGTATATGATTGTCATAGTATAAATTGACATCAAAAACTAAGTTATTCTATGACGAGGTTGAACAATAAAAAATTAAGGTTTCTTCTAGTTTATGCAGAAATGTATCAAGATTAATTTATTCTCTAGCTTTTCTTTGTACCTGTTATGTGATTTCGTTAATTATTGAACCTAATATGGGAAAATCATATAAATAAATGAATTCACCTTATGCTTTAAAAGAGAATGGATTGTAATAAGAAATGTTTTAAAAAAATTAAGTTCCTTAAAAGCATTATTTTTATAATGTCTCTATCATTCTTAACTCATTTTAGTTATTTTTGTCATATTTAGGTAACTGAAGAGGTGTATACACTTTTAAAAGGACGATATGTCTTCCAGTGTAGAGGAACAGTGAAAGTAAAAGGAAAAGGTGATATGACAACATATTTTCTTTTAAGGCGAAAAACTGAAGCTGATATGCTTGAAACTGATGAAATAATGCAAATAAAAGACACTTCTTGTGAAACCCCTCGTAGTAGTCTGGAAAATAGCAGCTACCATCGAGGACGAAAATCTCACATGCATCTCTCTGGACCAACTAATGAAATACACTCAACAAGCAGTCCCCGTCTACCATCAATGCAGCTTCCTCCATGGCAACCTCGAACGCAACAATCTACTGAAAATGATTCTTCTGACCTCTATAACCAACCTAAACCTATAATTGGAAACACAAAATCATATTCTCAAACCCGCCCACGATATAATCAAAGTCTCATGAATTCAAGTCATTCAAATTCTTCCTTACATGAAGGGAAAGAAGATTTACAAGAAAAATTACAAAAGCTGAATAGTGGCTCTGAAATTTACACAAATAAAGTATACAGACCATCTAAAATGTACACACATCCCAGGTCCCATTCAATCAACAAATCCCCATTAGTTTTGACACCTCCTGAAGAGTTACATCAATCTTTTTCAATACTTCCCATGAATGATTCAGAATCTGCTGTTGCAAGCTGTGGTATGAGCAGTAGTCATGACAGTCTCTTAGGACATGACAAAAACATCTCAGGTGATTCATGTTCATTAAATCGTTCTTCTATGTCATCCTGCGATAGTTACATTCACACTGATGTTGATTCTCCTGCCTTGTATGACTACCAGTGGGTATACCCCATTGATAATGCCAAGGATTCTTTAGTTTCAGATGGTTCAAGAAATTCATCTGACAACAAACTTCCAGAAGTTGGATTGTCACCCTCACATAACAGTGCCTGTAATAATTGCAATAACGTTCTGAACTTTTCAAAGTTAAACCAGATGAAAGGGGCATTGAATTATGATAACTCGAAAATAATAATCAGTGAAGGCGTTCCGTTATCACCAAAGAATATAACTACCGCAAATGGTTCTAATTTTCCACCACTTAAGGACTGTTTACAAAACGTAAATGAAAGTCCTGTGGAATCATCTTCTCATAGTTCTTTATCAGGTATGAAGGAACAAGATGAATCTCACAGTGATATGAAAAAAAATTCACTAAAAGAATTTTACAAGAACTCAGGAAGTCATAATGACCAACTGGAGTACAGTAAATATGAGTGTAACATTCCTCTTCAGAACTTACATGGAGATGCCTCATCTGAAAATTATTTGAATGGCAAAGAACCTCTAAATAGTCCATCAAAGCCTTTTCACGGAGAAGATGACACTCTTACTCCCTATAATTATTCTTGTAAAATTCCCTATTCTAATAGTCAGCAGAATGATGAATCTAGCAAAAGCCAATTGCTTTCATCTCACTCTACTCTGAAATCTCCAAGTGAACGATCAGAAGAATCTTCAAATAAGTTGCCAAAAGATCTTGTAAATAATAAATATTCCTATAATACTAATTTGCAGTCACCTCAAGCTATAGACAGGGAAAACTATAAAACTATTGGTGATGAACATAATGTTTCAAATGCTGCCTCTGAGCTAACTGATAGTGATGAAAGTGACGACGATAAAGCAGTTGATGTCCCCTTGATGGATGACTATTGTAATGATGATCCTGCTTTGGAGAATGCATCCTTGCTGAATGAGCATGGACTTACTGATGCTGAAGGCGCTCTTAGTGATTTAAACTCTATAATTAATGATCCATGTCCCAATGATGGCGATATGGATGATACAAGTATATCTTCTCGCGCAAGTAGTAGAATGTTTGATAGTGATCAGCTGCTAAGTGTTGATAGCTTAAATATTATGTATGATTCTGAATATGATAATTATCGGCCAGGAATTGCAAGTGATGACGATATCTTTCATCAGGATCATGGTTCAGAAGCAGATATAGAATATTTAGAAGACCCTAATATGGAGCACATACGAATGCTGTCAAATAATATTACACAAAACTTTGGTTTACCTTCAAAAAATGAAAAAGATTCGAATGAATTAGGATGATGTGAGTGTATTATTCATTTTAAAGTTTAAATGCATGTATTCAAACACTTTAGTGCAATAATTCATTTTTTGTGTTATGAGTTATAATCATCCATACTTATCACATGCTCGAATCATCGCCTTTTGGCATTTAAGTTGTAAAATTATGTCATGCATGAATGAAATCTGTTTAAAAAAATATTGTGGATAAACCTATATAAATCTACAAATTATTTAAAATTATGCAGACTACAAGACTTTGTTTGTCAGTATACATTATGATCCTATAGTGGGGCAATATATAAAGCTTGGAAAAGGGTACATCTTTGTTATGTAAGATAACTGTTTGAAATTAAAAATTCTACTTCTCACAATTGCCAATAATTGAAAAACATTACGTTTCTGTAAATATATTTGGGCAAAGGTATGAAGATAGTTAATATTTTATAAATTTAAAAGTCAGTTAAATATATACAGTGTGCAGAAAAATGCTACACCTTTTTAATTTATTTTGTGTAGTTAAAAATAGCATGCTCTATTTTGCTTGTTAAAAAATTTAATTTTACTTTTGCACAAGCAATTTTTAATTTTAAACTGATGCCTAAAAAGAATTCAAGTGAAAATAATTTTAGAGTGAAGATATATTTAAATGTTATAAAAATTTAAAACCTTGCAATCTATTCAACTTTTCTTAGAGTTCAATTATGTAGGGAAAAGAATATTTCAAAAAAAATTATTTAGATGATAATTAATTTATTAGTTGAAATAATTTTGCAAATCAAGTTTAAATAATTAGTTTAAAAAAATAAAATTTAAACAAGCTAATGATTTTTCTGTTAATTTAATAGCAAATAATAAAAATGTATAAGGATTTTTAATTTATGATGTAAAGATATAAAATAATTTTTAGTTTTTGTATAAAAATATGTATAATGAATTTTTATTTTTGGTATAAAAATATGTGATGATTTGTAATTTTTGGTATAAAAATATCTAATGAGGTTTAGTTTTTGGTATAAAAAAATACATACTTGTCAATTTCTTCTTCTTCTGGTAGGAAATTTTACTAAAGTATTTAAATTGATAGTATGTATATTTTATATTTTGCCCTTTAATTTTTTTTTATTTAATAAATTTAATTTCAAAGAATTTTAACTACCACTATATATAAATAATTTAAAGAAATATGTAAGACCTGATAATTTGAATTTTTAAGTACTGGAAAAAATAAACAAATTATACTATATTATTTTATATTATTAATTATAATCGTTAATAGCTATTTTCTACCATTGTAAATATTCAGGAGAACTAGGACTTCCAGGTTGGTATCCATGAAAATATGTAATGATTTTTAATTTGTCCATATTGTTATCAGAATTTTTAGTTATCGACCTATCTGTGATGAGAACTTTAAAATGCAATTTGAATATAATATGCATTTAAGATAATGGAGAAGACATTAGAATTACTTTAAGTTCTTTAAAAAAGTTTATGAAATTTCTCAGTTTAGGGTTATTTTTCTGACAAGTATTTGGAACCATGAAGAGAAATATAAAAATGAATGGTATTTTTAATACAAACGGCTACTTAGTACTACAGCTCATTGTGCTAAATGATATTTTCAAACAACTGATATTGTTATGCTTATTGTTTGTTAGCCCCTGTTCTTGACATGTTGAGCCAAATTGCTTTCAAATATAGATCTGATGCAGTGAATTGGAAAAGTCAATGGCAGAAAACTGTTATGCCTCCTAATGCAGAAAACGCAATTCATTAAAAATAATAAAGAGAGAAATCAAAGACATTTATTAAAAACTTCTCTGTTGCTCAGGTTGGAAAGTGAATTTAATAAAATTTTCTCTCAGCTGTAGGTGTTTTTGACGAAAATTTCCCTAAAGGTTATGAAGTGTTCCATCATTTATATTTTATTACTGCTAATTCACGTTTAATTTGTCTATATTTAAACATGATATGTCTGAGTTTTTCTTTACTTTGATAAAAGTGAAAGATATCCTATATCTATCAAAAAGTTATTTTATAATTGCATATTTGTCTTAGTTGTCACTGATAGAGAATGTTACAAAATCATTAAAAAAACATGATTGAAAACATTCTGAATAGCTATTTAACATGAAGAATCTTATGTTACTAAGAGAAAATTAAACTGTTAATAGAAAAATATGGTGAGTAATGTCATACCTGTTACTGAATTGGGTAACAGAGACATGACAAAAACTTCTAAATGATATATTAAAATTCTATTTGATTTTGACTAAAAATCTAATGCCCTAAATTATTCAGTTGAATAAATAAATATTTTTATCTGAAGAATTTTGGTAACAGATATGCATAGTAAAAAATCCCTTAATAAAGAAAAACTTCAGCTCCCTCATCCAATCCATAGAACATTCATAACAGCCGTGTATATTTTTTTAAACATTCTTTAGCAAACGTGTGTTACCATGCATAGATAATAATCGTGCAGTTTCAAAAATGCAAATAAATGTATAACAATACAAGAATTTATATTCTTATTAATTGTTTTAAAAACTTTTTTAGAAAGTAATTTCGAGTATTTATAATATGATACAAAATATATGTTTGAATTTTTTGTTTTCAAAATATTATTCTGAGAAAAACGTCTTGGGTTTTCTTTTTGGGACAGCTACATATTTTCATTTTCCTCTCAATCAAATTTTTGAAACATTTTTTCTAATATAATCTCACATAAATTTATATTTTTTGTACTTAAAAGTGTGTACTTATAGTCATATTCTATAGAAAAATCTCTAACACCGCCAAGAAATTTTTTTTTACATGGATATCAAATTGCTCTGAATTGTGAAAGTTATCCATTAAATACATCAAGATTTATCATTAACTTGCTTTGTTTCCTTTCCTAAATCAGAATTTTTAAAATTTTTTAGTAATTCTAAAAAAAATATACTGTGTTCTTTCAAGAAATTAAGCATCTTCAAATTCAAAAATTATAATAACATAAACATGAAAAAAGCTATTTTTATTATTTACTGTAGATTTAAAAAAAAAAAAATTTGTAGTTTGTGATACAGAAATATTCTCTTAATTTGAATTTCTAAATTGAGTATTTCAAATATTTAAAGCATAATGAGAAATCTTCAGCACTGTTTATCATAACTAAAATGATAAATTCAGAAAGTGGACTAAGATGGCAATGGTATTTTATCTCAACTTAATGCAGCAATCCAGTATATATTTATAGAAGAGAGGAGGTACTTGTGAACTATCTTTTATTTTATTTTTTTTTTAAATCAGCATTTTTCTCATTGCAAAAGTGTCCAAATATGTTTAAATAGTTTTATGTCTTTTGGAAGTTTGTAATTTTTTTAATAAATATTTCTTCAATTTATGGTATTTTAAGAAAATGACTTCATTTATGCGCATGTACACATAGAGAGTGTATGAACAAGAATCAAGAAACAAAAATAATCATCTTCAAAATAAAAACCTCTTTTGCAGATTATATTAAAAAGAATAGTAGTCTACTATATGAATTCAAATTGTGCAACAATTTGTTAATAAAAATTTTTTACTACTTGTAACCATTATACAGGGTGTTTCCTAATCACTGATCTTGATATATATTTTTGAAATCCTTGTCAAAAAAGAAATAAAGTAATGTGCATATAGGATTATATTAATATTTAAGTGGGGAATAAACAAAAACTATATCAATGTGAAGGAAGTGGGATGAAAAACTAGTTTAATTGCCTGAAGAAACTTGGAGATGTACCTGATAATTGCCTTTCAACTTCTGTCTGTTTCCTCTGACAATCAAATTGGTCTGGAAGGTTCCAGGTCTCGCCTGTCTTAGTATTGATTTATTAAATTTCCAATTGTGTTTGTGTTCGTTTTTTTTCTGCTAGAAAAGAAATTTTTGATGCCTAATGGTCAAGTTTTTTTTTACTTCATTTTTGTCAAGGACTCTAATAATATTATATATAGTTAGGGTGATAACTACCAAGTACTTTGTTTAACATGAAATTGTTGACCAATAATTAGGTAATTTTTTAAAGGAAAACATTATTATCAATTTAGAAATTTATTATGGAAATTAAATATGTAATAATAATTTTAAACTACTAAGTCAACTATTCACTTCTGTCATAAATATTTTATCCACAAGTGCGCTCATCCTCTTTATGGCTTCAAATAAGTCTTGTAAAAATAAAAATAAATTATTTTAGTAGAAAAAAAAATTATTGTTGACTAACCTAAATGTGCAATTAAAGTACAACTTTCAAAAAGCTGTATAATAAAAATCTTTAGTCAAAATGACCCAAGTATTGATGAAGAAAATGGAAGGGTGTAGTATAAGAAAAAAAATAGTTTAAAATTTTGGCTGTAGATGATGTTTTACTCGTTAATGGCACTAATAATTTTAGCCTACCAGTGACACTTAAAGTAAATCAAGCTACAAATAAAATGAAAAGCTTTCTCACTTCATTTGTTTGGAAACATCACTGATAACCAAAACCATAGATGCTGTGTTTAATAAAGTGCCATCTGTAACTAAAAATTTTAATTATATATACTATATATATATATTTTATTATTGTACCATATCCTCTCCTTTCCTCCTTCATAAATACCTCAGGTCATTTGGACAAGTAATTCTTTTTTACAGCTTTTTAATATGTGGTAGGCTTTAATTATATCTCTTTCAATAATATTAATGGCTCTGATAGAATTTTTCAAAATGTTTTGTTTCAATTTATCTTAGTAATTAAATGTACTCTCCTCTCCTCTATGTCAAATAGTATTTGCATAATTTGACAGATCAAGGTGATGGAAGTGGTGCTACTTATATCTGTACAACATATGTTTTTAGTTATTACTATTGATGAATGGCAGTATAAAACTTTTTTCAATAACAGCAATTTACAGATATGCACATTTTTGAAATTGTGCAGACTTAACATATTTATTAAGAAACATAGGTAATTAAATTGTTAATTTTTAAATTAAACAAATATTGTTGGAATTGTTTTGCATTAAAACAGATTCAAGTTTTAAAATTCTTTAAATAACTGAAGCTATGTTTATTAAATACCAATTTAAGTTAATTCCGTCTTAATTCTAACAACTCTGCTTTTTTGCTAATTTTGTTTTTTATTATACGTAGTTTTTATTCTCATTTACTAATAAACTAATTTTTCTGCAAAGTTGTTTGTTTAAAGTGACAATGTTTATAAGGGGATTTGTTTATTCTTGAAAAAATAATTTGTTTCAGTAAAAAATACAATTTTTTTCTCCTTAAAAATTTGAGGTGAGTAAATACACTGGAAAAGAAATACTGAATATTGTCTTCTCTAATATATAATGTGAAAGCAACTTTAATCATTTAAGTGGTTAAAACTAATTGCACAAAATTCTCTTTTTTTTTATTAATTATATTTCCATTTTATGTGTATCACAGGCTGTACAACTACTTTTTAATAGAGGATCTTTTTTTTCCAGTGTTTTGTGACATCACAGTTTTTAAATGTGCTTAAATTTTCAATTCCAAGACACTATTTAATTGCATATCTGTTGGAGATTAAAGATCTTAAAAGTATACTTTCTGTAACTACTATCTAGGTATACTTTTTAAAAGTACACTTAGTAAATCTAAATGTATACTATCTATGACTACTAATAAAATATAGAATATTTTATGTAATAATGCTAGTAAATTATCTGTGATTAAAATTTTAATATTA